TTACAAAACTTTTTCAAAATGCGATTTTTTCTTCAAAACAAATAGCTTTCTTTTTGAAATTCCCAAAATAACAATGAGATGGGCCAACAAATAATTTAAACTCAGCTTCCACAAAACGATGGCGGACTAAGCTTATTTCACCCCCTACACCTTCAACTTCTCTTTTTTTTAAAAGAAAACTCTCTTGATTTATTGTCTAAACACTACAATTAAGAGATGATCGTCTGATACAATACGCGCATTACGTTTGAAATAAACCACGATTTAATCTGAATTTAACAACCATAATTGTAATCAAATACAACAACAACGAAAACACCAAGCTTCTATCGACACCATGATTTACCATCGTCGAACCAAACGCCATTAGAAGATACTTCCCTCCCAAAGACCGGTAATAATTCAAAACACCAAACATGTTCGACTGATGACGATGACGACGCAGGCAATGAAGAAGTCTGGGTATTGAGTAAACGTTTACGTTGTAAAATAATCACGCACACACACATGTATGCATACATACATACATTGGATATACATACCCAGTAAACAATTTTTTCCGACTGCTCTGATTTTAGATTTTTTTCCGAAATTTCTGACGTTTTTTTCAGAAATTTCTGATAGAAATTGGTCCGATTTTCTAAACTTTTTTTTTAGAATTTCTGCACATTTTCCTGTGTTTTTAAGCGAAAAAAACTCGAAAAATGTACAAACGGAGAGAGTAGAATCTACTCAGTAGATTGTCTATTGCTCTGGCATATTCTCTCCCACATGTAAACGGATGGTGGTGGTTTGACACATTCTCTCCCATAGTAGTTGTTGTTGTGATCATTCATTTCAAGATCTCAACAACAACAAAGCGTAAAGCAAAAATGCTATTTGTTATTGTTATTGTGAACTGTTAGATTTTCCGTTGTAAAAATGTGCGTTTTGTTGTTGTTGTGAATCAGCCTCTTTCTCTTTCGTTCCCAAAAAAATATGATGGAAAAAAATTGCAAAAACAACTACAACAACATTATAGATGTAATATTTAAACTACATTTTTACGAAACCCGAAATAAATTGTTTGTTTTTTAAATAAATATGTGTTTTTTTTTTTTTCATTTTTAAGTGGTGTGACGATTTTTTCGATATTTCTTCCGAATTCTGAACGATTTCTTTCAGAAAATCGGAACTTTCTCCCGAATTCTGAGCGTTTTTTTTTCAGAAAATCTGAATTTTATTCCGAATTTTCTTTCGAATTCTGACCGATTTCTTTTAGAAAATCTGAATATTCCGCCGAATTTCCAGACGAATTCTGCCCGATTTCTTTCAGAAATTCGGAGTTGTCCTCCGAATCTTTTCCGAAAATCTAATTTTTTCTCCTATTTTTTCAAGAATTTTCACCGAATTTGGACCGAATTCGTCCAGAAAATCTAATATTTTTTCAGATTTTTTTCAGAAAATCTTTCCGAATTCGGTGACCACGTCCATACAACTTTCGTACCGAAATCGGAAGGAATTCGGAATCAGAATCGGACATTTTTTCAGAGATTCTGACAGAAATCGGACCGAATTCGGCAAAAATTGTTTACTGGGTAGTCACCATGTAAACAAGTTATATTCTTCGTTTGGCCAATTTCGGGCTCTCGACAAATTCATGCGAATTGATGTTATGGACAATTTGGTTTTTGTTGTTATTCTTGGTGTTATTATTGTTGGTGTTTTGTCATTGCTACTGTTTGTTGACAATTGCCAAACCACCAAAACAATAAGAATTAGAATCATGTTGTTGTAATCACTCACAATTACTCTGCTCAATTTTCCACTTAGAATTTTTTGAGGAAATAAACAATTGTGGGAGCGAAAAAGAGAGGGGGAGAGAGAAATTATGGCTAAGCGAGGCATGAAATTATTGAAATGATGTCACATTTGTAATTGAGAGTTGAAGCAGAGAAAAAAAATTCTCTTTGATAGATAGGGATTCTAATTCCGTGTTGGGAAGATAACACTGTGCATCAAAATTAAATTTTTAGATAGGAATGAAGGAAAGAAGGAATGAGCCGATAAATCCCATATGCACACACACATATTTAGAAATACCAAGTTTGAATAAAATCGATGACTTGTTTAGCAAATTATGAACTATATAAGTAGTTAAAATTGTGACCCTTTGGGGGAAGGTACCAGAAGGGGTAGGCCGGTATGTATAATTTTCACACCAGAATTTGCGTTAATAAAAAATATTTAGATGTAAGAAACTTAAAGAGAAACGAAAGTTTATTTTGCATTTTATGAGGGATATAATTATTCCAAAATTTTGGCCCGCTGTGTGGGGGGTACTAGAAGGAATGTAATTTGTAATTGAGAGTTGAAGCAGAAAAAAATTCTCTTTGATAGATAGGGGTTCTAATTCCGTGTTGGGAAGATAACACTGTGCGTCAAAATTAAATTTTTGGGGTAGGCACGAGAAGGAATGAGCCGATAAATCCCATATTCACACACACACACACATATTTAGATATACCAAGTTTGTTGACTTCTATCGCAAGTTATGAACTATATAATTAGTTAAAATTGTAACCCTTTGTGGGGGAGGTACCAGAAGGGGTAGGCCGATATCTATAATTTTCACACCAGAATTTGCGTTAATAAAAAAATATTTAGATGTAAGAAACTTAAAGAGAAACGAAAGTTTATTTTGCATTTTATGAGGCATATAATTATTCAAAATTTTAGCCCGCTGTGTGGAATTATCCGAAATATTCGATCTTTACACCATATCATGAGTTCTCAAAAATAAGGGAATGTGTAAAATTTAAAGAGAATCGGATGAATATTTCGCATTTTATGAGAGATGAAATTATTCAAAATTTTGATCCGTTGTGGTGGAGGTATCAGAAAGATTGGACCAATATATTCCATCTTCATACCAGATCTTTTGTTGATAGAAATATCTGGATGTGCCGAGTTTGAGAGGAATCGAATGCTTATTTCTCGTTTTATGAGCATCATGATTATTCAAAATTTCAACCCCATTGTGGGGGAGGTGCCAGAAGGAGTGAGCCAATATATTCCATCTTCATACCAGATCTTTGATAGAAATATTGGATTGCGCCGAATTTGAGAGGAATCTAATATTAATTTTGCGTTCTACGAGCTTCATTGCTATTTAATATGTTGACGTCTTTGTGGGGGAGGTACAGGAGAAAGTGGATTAATATACTCCATCTTCATACGAGGTCTTGTGTTGATAGAAATATTGGATTGCGCCGAATTTGAGGGGAATCTGATATTAATTTTGCGTTCTATGAGCTTCATGGCTATTCAATATGTTGACGTCTTTGTGGGGAAAGTATTTGAAGGAGGGAATATATGGAATTTGAAGAGAAACGAATGCTTATTTCACATTTTATGAGTGATATAATTATTCAAAATTTTAACCCGTTTTGGCGGAGGTGTGGAGGTGATGGAATGGGCCGGTATTTCTATTTTCGCACTTAACCTAGCACAGATGCATATATTAGGATTTGCAAAGTGGATTATCTTTTCGCTTTCTGTGCAGTGAAACATTTTTGGGAGTTTCGATTTTTTGTGGGGGAGTTACTAGAAGGAGTGGCCCGATATTGCCCATCTCCGAACTCGATCTAAATTTGATAATAATATTACGATGTACCAAGTTTGGGCCAAATCGGATACTCCCTTCGAGAGCTATCGTGCGCATTAGCCAGCCAGACAAACGGACACCCTAGATCGACTCCAAATGTCATAAAACGGATTTGGTCCAAAAAGAGACCTAGGGTCTAAAACCGGTATTTCGATGGCTGTATCAAAAGATTTATACGCTCTGTAGCCATATGACTGAGGGTATAAAACAAAAATGTAACCAAAAATGTAACCAAAAATGTTGTGAAGGTAGGTCCACGTTTAGACCTAATCTCATATACCGAATCCCTCCGATAAATGTTTTTATTAAAATCTACTGTAGTTTTTTATTTGGTGTTCATAATGGCAAACCAATACCCTTTTGAGAAAAAAAAATGTTAATATGGTCCCAGAATTTAATATAGTTATCCTAATTACGATTTGATTTCTTTTTTTCAATCGATTTTACTGTAACTTATCATTCCGATTTGAGATAGGCTAATAAATGTATGTGCCAAATATTATCAACATGGGACAAATTTTTCGTTATATGGGGTTAACAACCGTTCCCTCCGGATTTGAGCGATTTGATGTAATTTGTCATTTTGAGTTCTGAATACAAAATATACTCCCTGCCAAAAATTGTTAATTAAAAGTATCAGTACTTGGTATACCTCCCATAATTTGCCGAATTTTCAAGTTTTAAGCAAAATTTTGAAACACAATTAACAACAAATTAAAATATATGGAGTTGAAATAATGCCACAGAAATGAAGACTTAAGAGTTTTTTCAAGTGCGGTTTTAAAGTTTCTAAAATATTATTGAAATATAAAAAATTGAAAAGTTAAGAGAATATTTGTAACGCTAACATTAAAATGTGTTGCATTCAGGTTTTCGGTTTTCTCACGGATTGGGGCCACTGTGTAATGATTTCACTTTTATTTATTTATTGTTAATATTTTTTGGATTATAAAAACCCCCCTTGCTCTCAAATACCTGAAGTAGTCTATTTTTTAATGAAATTTAATTTTTTGAAATTTTCGATATACTTTTTTTTCAAAAAAATTTAATATCCAACCCACATGTATGTATGTGTTATCATTTATATTGCCACGGAAATTGGAGAAAATTATTATAATTAAAACAAAACAAAGAAAAACGATATCTATAATAAATAATTACATTTGTTTCTTTCATATACATATTTACAAAATTTATATAATACCAAAAAATAAAAAAACAGTAGCAATTTTTATTTACAGCTCTTGTGGTGTACGAGTATTTCTGATTTTTTTTCAAGAAAATGAAATGAAATGATTTTTTGCACACAAACACACAAAAGAAACATTGAAATGATAAAAAAAAAACTACTTACTTGCAGCCTGCATTATTAGCATGCCAATCACAATGAAATTCATATTGCCGGTGTATCGCTGGCTTTTTGTTGTTGCTGCTGTTGCCTCTTCTCTTTGTTTGTTTTTTTGTTTGTGGTAACGGTATGTGTGTGCGGTGGCTAAACGTTTTGCCCTGCTTCTGTTTTCTTTTTTTTTTCTAACGGCAAGAAAGAAATTTCTCACAAAAAAATACAAAATTTTTTGGTGTTGTTTTTTTTTTCTTTTGCTACTTTTTCCGACAATTTGTGTTTTTTATATTTATTAGTATTTCTTTTCGATTTTTTATGTTTCTCCGTAGATCTCTTTTCCAGATGCGTGCCAAACAATTTTTTTTTCGTTTTATTATCACAATTTTTTAAAAAATCATCTGCATTCACAATGGCCTGAAAGTGAAATTGTTTATCTTAGATTGACAAGGTTTTTGGATAGGCATCCAAATTAATTCTTTTATTTATTTGTTTCATTTTATTTAAAATTAAAAAAAAACATTTAAGTATCTGGATTGCAATTTATTCCCTCAAAACCCACATTGAGTTTCTATGTTTTTATTTATTTATTTATTTTATTTATTTTTTTTTTTTTTGTAAAATTTAAATCTCTAGATTACTTAATAGGCAGTATATTCAAACCTCCCATTAGGTTTCTAGATTTGTTTTTGTTTTTTTTTTTATTAATTTTTTATGCCGCGCGTGTTATTTAATTTTTCAGTCTCCAATCTTCTTCTTCTTCTCGACAACGGTTACAACAAAATCCAAGAAGAGTTATATGTAAATTTATTTATTTTCTTGACTTGCTTAACCAACTCGCTTTTGTTTTTTTTTTTTTTGGTTTGTCATTCACCACAAAGAAATGCACGCAGAACCGGTGTGGAAGTTTTTTTCTGACTGATGTTTGAAAAAAAACTTAACTAAAAAGCCAACCAAAGTATCATTGAGTTGTGGCATTTGTGTGCGTAGTAGCATAGCACAAGGTAGGTATGTATTTGTGCCTGTGTTTGTTTGAAAACAAAAATATTCAACACTCTCTCTTTCCATATATGCCGTTTAATGGCATAATACACCTTACAGTTGGTCTTAGAGGCAAATGCAATAAAAATTCAAAATTAAATTTTTTGAAATATTAATTTCAAGGTAGAAATGCTAAAAAAAAAACTAAAAATAAACGAAAGACTTAAGAAACAAGCACCAGCAAGAGAGATAATCAAGAGAATTGACAAAAGACTTAAGACACAAACTCCATATGGAGAGCATTTGAGGAATTACTCTCAGACCTCGCTCACCAATCCAATTTCTGTCTGCTTATTTTTCTAATCATCAAAAAAACCAGTGTTAATATATAATTTATACATTTTTTTTTAAAAAATTCGCTTTATTATTAATTTTTGAACAACATCCAAGTTAAAAAAAAACAATTGAAATGAAATCTTAACTAATCTCTTTTTTGGAATGTGCTAACACAGGGTTTTGACCAGTGCATATTTAATAAATAAAAGTGACCTTGGGTTCTTCGATCGAGGGGAATTTTGTTATCCCACCACGGTGTGAAAACTTAAATTATTATCAAAACTGGGGTTCTCTAAATCCCAAAAAAATGTGGACATTTCTTAAAATACTTTTGTCAAACACGAGCCGTAAACACCAAATTCTACACTTTTAAGTCAAAAATAAGTTAAAAAGTATCAGTCAGTTTTGCCGACAAATGTATACCCTCAGCGAATGTTCGGAACGGACCAATATTGTCCATTTCATATCGAACCTTGTGTTCATGGAAATATTGATAAGTGCCAAGTATGAATGAAATCGGATGTTCATTTCGCGTTTTATGAGCTTCATGAATATTCAAAAATTTTACCTTTTGTGGGGAGGACCGATATTGTCCATTATCGAACCTATCCTAGCACTAAATCAAATATTAGGATTTGCAAATTTGGATTAAAATCGGATTATCCTTTCTCTCTCCGAGCAGTAAAATACCTTTTGTGGGGGAGATACCAGAAGAAGTGAACCGATATTGTCCATATCCGAACTCGATCTAAGTTTGATAATAATATTACGATGTACCAAGTTTGTATCAAAACGGAAACTCCCTTCGAAAGTTATAGTGCGCACTAGCCAGCCAGACAGACGAACGGACGGACATTGCTAGAACCAATTTTTGTCGAACATTGCAAAACCCTAATTCGCAACAGTGCTATGTTAGGTACAAAAATGAACAATATCGACCGACTACATCATGTACCTCTCCCAGAAAGCGTCAAAATTTCCCCCAAAAAGGGGTTACAATTTTTAGTAACCATGAAGCTCATAGACCCCGAAATGAGCATCCGATTCTCCTCAACATTTTCCAAAAATTATTACATATCTCATTTAAATTGATGGTCGATATAGTCCAAATTCGGACGTAAATCCATTACTTCGTTATCTCCTCCATAAAGGGTTTACCTATGTGCCAAGATTGGTTATTTGAGAATGGTTTCCCCTTGAGGTACACTGCAAAGTGAGCAGAGATTGGTGTGTGACAATTTTATTTTGGTAGAGGTATACTTTTGAGTATGTGTGATCTGACAGCAAGCGATTAATCAGTTTTATTTTCCCAGGTTCTAGGGACCATTTAGAATGCCAGTGTTTGGGGGGGGTGTGATGAAAAAAAATTTGATTGAATAATGCATCCAGCAGCAGCAGCTTGTTAAGCGGAAATATCAGCACACTCGTTGTAGAAGATTTCAACGTGTGACGGAACCCACACAAAAGTGAGTTGAAGTCATTGCTTTACATCCATTACTTCGGTGGTTGATTATGCAACTGCAATACAACCCTGAAAACGGTGTTTGATAAAACGCGAAGTTGGTTGCAGTTCAAGATAACTGAACAGTTAAGCCATGTTCACACTTGCCTTAATAAATCGACTCGATTTGGAAATCGAGTAACAACCTTGGAGAGTGAAGTGCAATAAAACGCGAAGTTGGTTGCAGTTCCAGATAACTCATGGCAGAAGAATACAGGTAGATCCATCAACGCTTGGGAGCATTGATATGTCAAAAAATTTTAATTTTTTTTTTAATATTAGTAGATTTTTATATGTTTTCTTATACGACGACATTCGGAGGTTAATATAATTCGCGTTATTCAACAATTTTTACAAATTTAAACATTTTTCATTCAACATTTTCAATTCCAAAATAGGTTTGACAGTTCGTTGTCTCAGCAGCTGCGTCGATGCGACTACCTGTATTATTCTACCATGGATTGTACCGAAAATTTAATGGATTTAATAAAACGCGAAGTTGGTTGCAGTTCCAGCTAACTGAGTAGTTAAACAATGTTCAGACTAGCCAAAATAAATGGACTCTATTTGGATATCGAGTAACAACCCTGGAGAGCTGTGTTTAATAAAACACAAGTTGGTTGCACTTCCAGGTAACTGAAAACTCAAGCCATGTTCACACTAGCCTTAATAAAGCGACTCAATTTGGAAATCGAGTAACAACCTTGGAAATGGGACTTTAATAAAACGCGAAGTTGGTTGCAGTTCCAGGCAACTAAACAGTTATGCCATGTTCACACTAGCCTTAATGAATAGACTCGATTTGGAAATCGGGTAGGGAAATGGTAGTTGTTTAAACTAACAATAAGATAGTATAAATCCATTAGTTATTCAAGAATTTACCGCAATACTCAGAAACTCAATATCGGGTTATAGGATACACACCAATTATCAAGAGATTTTTCATTGGAGGTTTATAAATTATTTTTTAATTTCTTCATTATTTTGTGTAGTGTTTTTAATAAATGTTCATAAAATAGTACCAAATAATGTCATTATTTTACCTCCATTACGTCCGTGGCTTAATACGCAACTGTAATACAACCCTAGAGAGCAGTGTTTAATAAAACGCGAAGTTGGTTGCAGTTTTAGATAACTGAACAGTTAAACCATGTTCAGACTAGCTATAATAAATTAAATCGATTTGGAAATCGAGTAACAACCCTGGAGAGCGGTGTTTAATAAAACGCGAAGTTGGTTGCAGTTCCAGGTAACTAAACAGTTATGCCATGTTCACACGAGCTTTAGTAAATAGACTCGATTTGGAAATCGAGTAACAACCCTGGAGAGCGGTGTTTAATAAAACGCGAAGTTGGATACAGTTCCAGGTAACTAAACAGTTATGCCATGTTCACACGAGCCTTAATAAATGGACTCGATTTAGAAATCGAGTAACGGAGTAGTAATTGTCTAAACTAACTCTAAGATATTATAAATTATAAATTTATTCAAGAATTTGCCGCAATACTCAGTAACTCAATATCGGGTTATAGGATACACACCAATTATCAAGAGTTTTTTCATTGGAAGTTTTTAAATTATTTTTTTATTTCTTCCCTATTTTGTGTAGTGTTTTTTTAATAAATGTTCTTAAAACAGTACCAAATAATGTCATTATTTTACATCCATTACGTCCGTGGCTTAATACGTAACTGCAATACAACCCTGGAGAGCGGTGTTTAATAAAACGCGAAGTTGGTTGCAGTTCCAGATAACTAGACAGTTATGCCATGTTCACACGAGCCTTAATAAATAGACTCGATTTAGAAATCGAGTAACGGAATTGGTACTAACACTAAGATTTTATAAGCCATTATTTATTTGAGAATTTGCCGCAATAACTCAATATCGGGTACACAGCTATTATCAAGAGCTTTTTCATTGGAAGTTTTTAAATTATTTTTTATTTCTTCGCTATTTTGTGTAGCACCTCCAAACTTCGTCGACCACCTGTCATCCCAAAATACCATCGATATATTCATAAATATTCCGATGTTATATTTATTTAAAGTAAAAGTGGACGACACAACGAATGACCGACAAGAAAGCAAAAACAAAAAAAAAAAAAACAAGCACAACAACAGCAAAAAAAAAACACGTATCAATGGACAGAAAAAGTGGACAAATACATGTACGTATGTGACTGTCGGACGGACTGTTGGTCAATTCGTCATCAACTTGCATTTGAGTATAACAGCGGCGACGGCGGCAGTGGTAATAAAAATAAAGTTGGGATTTTTTCAAAGTTGTCGTCTTCGTCTTCTTCTTCCATATTAACAGTTGAGTGGGCCAAGTTAACAATGGTAACAGACAACAACAACAACAGCACACAGCAATGGGGCAAAAGTGCTGCTGCCTTGTTGTGAATTATGATGATGATGATGATAATAATTATGATGAGTAATGTGTCATGCGTTACAGGTGGGCTGGTCGCTGGACAAAAAATAAAAACAAACGGTTAATCTATTTTTTTTTTTTCTTCAGCTTGATTTTCTGTCATTTGTCAAAAGTGTTTATGGTAATAAGAAATTAAGGTTTGAAGACACACAAAAATACACACACATGTAACCTGTTACAATTACTCTCAAAATCCGAAATATTTTATTACAAATTATGTAAAAAAAGGGAATGCAAATTAAGTGAGGTTATGGAGAAGGCGAAATTTTTCGAAAAATAATTTTACAGGGTGAGATGAAAAAACTGCAACCAACTTCAGATTGCTGTCATTTCTAAGCCACTCGTCCGACAGGTGCTAAAATTATTCCAGTGACAGATCATTGTATTGTTTACAAGTGTACAAAAGCATTTTTGTGAGAATTTTCCAGAAAAAAAAGTTATTCGTGATGGAATTCAAGCGTGATAGAGTGATTTATTTATATTTGGCTGGAAAACTACAAGTGGTTAGCGTTAGAGCACTCCATCATTTAAATGTGATCTCGATAATCGGCGAAAATTTCAAATAGATATTTTTATCGATAATCGATAAAAATTTTCTATAGAATATTTATCGATCATCGGCGAAAATTTTCAATAGAATTTTTTATCGACAATCGGCGAAAATTTTCAATAGAAATTTTTATCGATAATCGGCGAAAATTTTCTATAGAAAATTCTACTGATAATCGGCGAAAATTTCCCATAGATATTTTTATCGATAATCGATAAAAATTTTCTATAGAATATTTATCTATAATCGATAAAAATTTTCTATAGAATATTTATCCATAATCGGCGAAAAATTTCTATAGAAATTTGTATCGATAATCGGCAAAAAATTTCTATAGAAATTTTTATCGATAATCGGCGAAAATTTTCAATAGAAAATTTTATCGATAATCGGCGAAAATTTTCAATAGAAAATTTTATCGATAATCGGCGAAAATTTTCAATAGAAAATTTTATCGATAATCGGCGAAAATTTTCAATAGAAAATTTTATCGATAATCGGCGAAAATTTTCAATAGAAAATTTTATCGATAATCGGCGAAAATTTTCTATAGAAATTGTTATCGACAATCGGCGAAAATTTTCTATAGAAATTTTTATCGATAATCGGCGAAAATTTTCTATAGAAATTTGTATCGATAATCGGCGAAAATTTTCTATAGAAATTTTTATCGATAATCGGCGAAAATTTTCTATAGAAATTTTTATCGATAATCGATAAAAAATTTTCTATAGAATATTTATCGATAATCGATAAAAAATTTTCTATAGAATATTTATCGATAATCGATAAAAATTTTCTATAGAATATTTATCGATAATCGGCGAAAAAAATGTGACTTGATCGAAAGCCGCATCGCAGTGGCCGTAAAATGGCACGTGAGCTGAACATAATGCAATATTCCATTCGTCAAATATTGAAAAATGAGCTCGGGGTAAAGCCATTGAAATTGCGAAAAGTGCAAGAACTTACAACGCAACAGCGAAGAAAATAGACTCAAAAGAGCTAAAATAGTTGCTTCGCTTGGCCGAAAGTGGTGAACTGCCGAATTTGGTTTTTTCCGATGACAAAACATTCGTTGTCCAGCAGTTTGTAAATAAACAAAATGTGATCATGTTCACTTGCCAAAGAGGTCAGCTGAAAATGTGCACCTTAGGTTGGCCAACAGAACTCAAGCGCCGGCCATGGTGATGGTGTGGGCCGCCATAACAGCCGATGCTCGCTCTCCGTTCATATTAATCGACAATGGCATCAGAATAAATGCCGAATATTATCGCGAAAATATTCTGGAGGATGTATTAAAGCTTTGGGCACACAAACATTTTGGCCGCAGACCTTGGACATTCCAACAGGACTCAGCAGCATCGCACTCAGCAAGCGCCACCCAAGAATGAGGTTACAAAATGAGGTGTCTCGCTTCATTTCCAGCGCCCAATTGCCACCAAAATCTCCGAATACCAATCCGTTGGACTATTGTGTCTGGAGTATTTTGGAAAGCAAGGTTTGCACTAAAAAATACAAAGTGTCGATCATCTCCAGCAAGCGTCTCGCCGGGAATGGGCCAAAATACCGCAGAGCAACAATCGGGTAGCGTGTGATGGTTTCGCTGGCGGTTTGAAGGTCATAATTCGTGCCAAAGGTGATCAATGCGAACAAATCTAAACTTTTTGAAAAATTTGATGCTGTTTCCGACGTTTTTTGCTTTGATTCAATAAAATTTAAACAAGTAAAAAGCTATAAGTTCGGCCGGGCCGAACTTTGAAAACCCTCCAGCATTTCGTACAAATTTGGCAATTTCCAAAAAAAAAATAAAATCCGTTAAAAATTCTTTTAAAATCTTAAAAATACCAAATGTAGCCGTTGATTAGACGACGTGGACCTGCATAGGCAACTTTTATCACAAGCTATTACAATATTTAAATGAGAAACTTGAAAAAAAATGTTTTTATTTTATAATGTAGCTAAAATCATCAAAATACCGAATATAGGGAGGTACCATGGGGGTTGTAAAACGTGGACCTGCACAGACAATTTTCTGGCATAGGCTGTAGTATCCATTATGAACTTCAAATGCGAAATTTGAAACAATTCTGATAAATAATGTCGCGAAAATCACCCAAATACCGCATATCGGGAGGTACCGTTATATGGGGGCTATACGACGACGTGGACCTACATGGTCCATTTTTTGTCATAGGCGAAGTATCCATTACGAACTTCAAATGCCAAATTTGAAATAATTCCGGTAAATAATGTCGCTAAAATCATCAAACTACCGAATTTCGGGTGGTACCGTCATATGGGGGCTATACGAAGACGTGGACCTACATGGCCCATTTTCTGTCATAGGCTGTAGTATCCATTATGAACTTCAAATGCGAAATTTGAAACAATTCTGATAAATAATGTCGCGAAAATCATTAAAATACCGCATATCGGGAGGTACCTTTATGTGGGGGCTATACCAAGACTTGGGTCTACAAGGCCCATTTTCAATACCAAAAGTCCTGCATACATAATACACATTTGAGTAAATTTTTATCAACTTACTTCATTTTGTTTGGAAGCTAGAGTGATTTCCGCAGACGGACAGACGGACGGACATTGCTAAATCGACATAGAATTTTATGCTGATCAAGAATATATATATATATATATATATATATATATATACTTTGTGGGGTCTAAAATGTATATTTCGAGGTGTTACAAACGGAATGACAAACTTAATATACCCTCCATACTATGGTGGAGGGTATAAAAAATCGATAATCGTACGGAAAAGTTTTACATTCTTGCAGCTCTGAAACCAAACAAAAATGTGCGGGGAATTTCGTACAAAACCGCATTCAAATATTTCCTTGGGATTACAAAGTGAAAATATTAGAAAATTGTATCCAATTCCAAAACATATTTTGTTTTTTATTTTATTATTATTTATTTATTTATTTTTTTTTTTTTTGGACTTTGGTTCCGATTTTTTAACACTTTTTCTCTCTTTCAATTAGCATCTATTCGACTGTTTAGAGTTTAAGGTTGTTTGAAATTCCATGGGGAGGTTCGAAAAACTAAAATAAACAATTTCACTTTTTATATGCATGATGACAACTTTTTCTTTTCAACATTTTTGTTTTTATTTAAAATTTTTATTTTCATCATTTTTATTTATAACTCCTTAAAATTACGTATTTTTTTTCAATATTTTCTTTATATTTTTTATGCCATCTTTTTTCCACGATTTATTCAAATGAAGGTTATTTTTTTCCTTCACTTTGTAAGTGCACGATTTTTGTTGTTGTTGTTTTTTTTAATTCTAAATTTACAAAAGTTGTTGTTAATGTTGTTATATTTTCAATCATATGTGTCGGGCCGCTAGCCAGCCAGCTCGTGTATTTAGTCAAACTCTTTCATTTACAATTTGGGTTTTTTGTGGTTCACTTTGGTTTTTGTTGCTGTTGTTGTTATTGTGGCAATTTTATTAAATTACTATAACGAGTTTTTATTGGTATCATTTGTTGTTGTTGGCGTTTGTGTTGATTTTTGCAGCCATTCAAAAAACGTTCAACTTTACGCTTTTGATTTTTGGATTTTGTTTTTGTTTCTTTTTTCCCAGTCTTCAAACCGAAGCACGTAGAAAAAGTTTTGTAAACTAAATTTGTAATTTTACCGCTTCTTTGAAAATCGCTCAAGTGATCGCTTTAACGTTTAAAATAAAACTAAATCGTAAAAGACTTGAAGTTTTACAAGCAACATCGATTTTGAGCTCGGCAAGTTGACGCATGCACATAAGTAAAGCACAATGCCATGGAGCAAACATGGAATGGCAACAAACAACTTTAAAAAGGCATTGCCATTCATTGCTTTTCTCTCATTTTTTGGGGGAGATCAACAAATGCCGGCTATGTGGTATTCTCCGTTACTCTCTCTCTCTCTCTAATTTGTTATTTCTCTCTCCTTAATTTCCCCCCAACACATGTAAACTCTGAGAGCATTGTTTAATTAAATTCACACAAATTCTGTTAATTTGAAAACTTCTTTTAATTTATTACTCAGTAACGCTTCTGTTTTGTTTTAACTTCTCTCATTTATTCAGCTTTGTTTAAATCATTTTGCTACCCATGTTAGATCGAAACAAAAATTTGAATAATATTGAGCACAAAATCTGATTTTCAAGGCGCCCCGGTTTCAAAGACTTCTACTGTTATATTCGTAGTAGCTGTTTTTTTTTAGTTTTTAATTTCTGGACAAGGTTTCAGAAGTCCGCTTATGACAATATTGTATTTCATTTCCATTAATCTATGAGATGGTGATGATGTGTAAATATTGGCATTGTTTCAGCTAAAATTTTAAACATGCTGCATGTAGAGGAGATGTTGGTCAATCATCCATTGGCTTGCTCATTGAAATAATGCAGGCGGTGATTAGTCATGGGGATTTTCGGAAAAAAATTCCAACAACAAAAAAACGTTTTTGAAAACTTCCTATAAAAATTAATGTGGATTTTGCTATTTTTTTTCTTTAAAAATGGGTTTTTAGCTCCGGTGATCCTAGATTTTTCAAAATCGTTTTTTTTTATTTTTTATAAAGAAAATAGCGTCCAAATATTGTTTTTAATAAATGTTTTTAAAACAGGGCCAAATAATGTCATTGTTTTACATCCAATACGTCTGTGACTTAATACGCAACTGCAATACAACCCTGAAGAGCTGTGTTCAATAAAACGTGAAGTTGGTCGCAGTTTCATGTTACTGAATAGTGTGGCTGACTTCTGAATGTTATGACATGTTCTGACTTCCCATAATAAATCAACTCAATTTGTAAAAAGAGCAGCGAAATCTTGATACAATTACCAAGGTAATTTTATGTTATCATTCGATTACAATTTTTTATTTTATGTCCTTTTATTGTCAAATTGATGTTTTATCGTGCTTCCTTAAATGTGGACGTACAGCAGTAAAGAATTTTGTATTTATTTCAAACCAAATATTTCGTTATTTTCACGCCTTTTAAAGGGTTTAATGTCAAGAAAAAATGTAATATAAAATAGAAACCTACAATACTCGTCTGATAAGTCATGTAAGTCTTAATTTTGGTATGGTTGAATTTGGTTACGCCCAGGAAAAGTATGAAGACAATATCACTCCTTGTTTGCTAAAATACTGGAAAAAGATTTCCATCCCTCATTTTTAGTCAAATTGACATTAACTTCGTTACAAGAAATTTTCAGCGTAAGTTTTCGTTTTACTACAGAATCCATATAACAGGCATGGTACAATGAAATAAAGGTAACCTTATTTCAAATTAGCAGTCCCAGCTCTGCATTTTCTGTAATTTACCTTGTCAATTTTCAATGCATAAAAAACAGTTCCCATCTCTGATTTTGTGTGTATACAATGGAATTATGAATATAGATTTTAACAATGAGATGTTGTCAAATGTATAAATTTGAAAAAAAAATGCGAACATATGATTACATGACTTTACCTTCTTAGTTCTACCATGATAACAGGTATAGTGAAGAATTTGAAAACATTTTCATCTGGTAATTCTGGGGGTTTAATCCCCAAAGTCCTTAAGTGAAAACTCATTCTAGGCCTACACAAGAACAAAGATCAACGAAAACGTTTGCTTAAGACGAAGTTTTTGAATTCTTTATCTTGGTAAAATTATGAAGGTAAAGTAATTTCAAATAAGACTATCCACCTCTGAATTTTGTGTAATTTACCTTGTCAAATTTCACTGAATAAAAAACAGGTCCCCATCTCTGATTTTTGTCTCGATTCGATTATGTCTTCGAATTCAATCCATTCCATTTAATTTAATATTATGATCTCGTCTTTTTTTATATTTTCTCCGTTGTCTGAGGGTTCTTCTCAGAAGTAGTCCCTCCTTCTCTTCCACTCACCTCTGCCGGTTTCCCTGTTGGCAAACAAAGCATTTTAATGTCTTCGCAAAACGGTAGCAAAAGAGTCGGTTACATTCGCGTCATGTGTGTCCAGGTTTGCGACAATTCGAACAGCTATATATCTGAGACCTCCTCTACGCCATTGAATTGATCATTGTTTTTGGAAAATTCTATTCAGCCTCATTGGTATTGGGTATACGATCTTGAGGAGGAGGATCGAACGATTAAGATGGCTATTTTTCATTTGTCCCAACCGTGGAATTGATACGTTTTCTGGAAATGACAATACCAAGATCAAGAGGAGGGAATTCCTTAATTACCTCGGCCCAGGGTATTTTGTGCTGGCATTCATCATATTTCACCCCGACCTCTAGACCGTTGCTGCTTTCGTCATCGAAATTTGATCTTTATGACAATAACATCTCTTTTCTTCTCCCCAGGCCACATGGGAACTGTTTTCTTTAGATTGATTTGATTCGTCCATATCACTCTGGCTTTTTTTCTTCTATAGGCATTACCATTTTGGGCGATCTTGCTTTACGCCTAGTACTTCTAACTGTTACGGTATTCGGTATACTACGAAATTAACTTTATTTCGGCTAGAAAATATAAAATATTATTTAATTTTAACGAATTCCAATGCACAGCTGTTTAAAAAGTAATCAGTAATCGATGTTTACCTCAGTGTTACTCCATCAACGGCGTTGCCGTTGTCAATGAGTAGCTTGGTAGTATATGCTCACTGCATTCACTCTCTCTCCCTCTCTGTGTTATTTCAGAGTTAGCATTAATCGGATAACAATTAACATCATGCACAGGCACAAACACGGGAAGCCCAAGATGGGATTTCTCTCTGGTAAGCTCGGTGAGTGTTGCTCGGGCACAGCCTTCGAAAAGCGGGAAAGTGTCGACATGCGGAACTTTTTCCCACCAATAGTTATATATGGATAAACATTGTCTCGAGAACCGGTGGCGTACCACCAAGGACATGGCATTTGGGCTTCAACCATTGATGACTTCTTCGGAAGACGATAATCGATATTGTTAACACAATCGATATCAGCAACCGTGCTATCGATGGTTTACCAACCCTAATTGATAAGACGGAGAAGATCATTTTGCAATTCCGCAGGTGTGCGTAGTTTAAGAATAAAGAATTTTAGAAGAAAATGTACACACAACTAATTAGAAATTTAAGGAACATAAGGTAAGTCCAGGTTATAACTAGTCTTCTTCACTGCTCTCATATTCACAAACCGTGAATGCTCCCACGATCAGCATCTATATCACCTGAGATATTCTCGACCCCACAGAACGTTGTTACATAAATATTTTTTTTGTTTTGAACTTCATGTTTTTTATCTGATTTTTTTTACAGATGTTACTCCGCCAAAGTAACACCTGCGGTAAGGCCAATTAATAAAATCCTCATTGCCAATCGTGGTGAGATTGCCTGCCGTGTCATTAAAACTGCCCGTAAATTAGGTGTACGAACGGTGGCAGTGTACTCTGATCCCGATGAAAAGTCCCTGCACACTCAATATGCTGATGAGGCATATCGTGTGGGTGAGGCTGCATCAGCCTCATCGTATTTGCGCGGCGATCGCATCATAGAAATTGCCAAGAAATCCGGCTGTCAAGCCATCCACCCGGGTTATGGTTTCTTATCAGAATCTGTGGAATTTGCTGAATTGTGCCAAAAGGAGGGTGTTGTCTTTATGGGACCTCCTAGCTCTGCCATCCGCGATATGGGTATTAAGAGCACAAGTAAACATATTATGGATGCCGCCGGTGTACCCATTATTAATGGTTATCATGGTGAAGATCAATCGGATGAACGTTTGCAAAAGGAGGCCCAAAAGATTGGATTTCCCTTGATGATTAAGGCTGTTCGCGGTGGTGGTGGCAAAGGTATGCGTATTGCCGATAAGCAAGAAGATTTTATGGATGCCTTGAATTCGGCTCGTACGGAATCGCAAAAATCATTTGGTGATAGCTCGGTGCTTTTGGAACGTTATGTTCGTTCACCACGTCACGTAGAGGTCCAGGTGTTTGCCGATCAATACGGCAATGCTGTGTACTTGTGGGAAAGAGATTGTTCCGTGCAAAGACGTCATCAGAAGATCATTGAAGAAGCACCAGCTGTAAGTATTTTTTGTTTTGTAGAAACAATAATTCTTAATATAATTGTTTTAATTCCAGCCTGGCTTGTCTGAAGAGTTGCGTCGTGAATTGGGCGAAGCCGCCGTCCGTGCCGCCAAGGCTGTGGGTTATGTTGGCGCCGGCACTGTTGAATTCATTATGGACAAAGAAGATCTTAGTTTCCATTTCATGGAAATGAACACCCGTCTCCAGGTGGAGCATCCAATTTCTGAAATGATTACCGGTACCGATTTAGTTGAATGGCAAATTCGCATTGCTGCCGGTGAACCACTGCCAGTGACTCAAGAACAAATTACCCGTAAAGGTCATGCTTTTGAGGCTCGTATTTATGCTGAAAATCCTCGCGGTGGTTTCTTGCCAGGAGCTGGTCCTCTACGCTATTTGGCCACACCCCAAGCTAGCGATTTGGTTCGTGTTGAGACCGGCGTCCGGGAAGGTGATGAGGTGTCGGTGCATTATGATCCCATGATTGCCAAATTGGTTGTATGGGGTGAAAATCGTTCACAGGCTTTGAACAGCTTAATTGCCCGCCTCAGGGAGTATCATGTGAGTATGGAAGGTTTGGAGATCTTAGAAGTATACACTTTGGAACCCTTTGATGGAAGACTCTTTTAGCCTTTTTTTTTTTTTTTTTGAAGACAAATGGGGCAATGATTTGAAGAGCTTGAGGTCTTTTATCCTTAGATCTTTCTGTTATTGTCTATTTGCGGATAATTTGCTATTCTTTTTGAAGAAATTTCTTGGTGTCCTACTTGAAGATTATTTGGTCTTTGTTGCAGATTCGAAGACATATTTTGAGTTATTAGAAGACCTTGATAATCCCTCTAAAAACAAAACTTGGTCTTCAAAGTAAAGACTTCTTGCCCTCTATTAATAGATCCATTTTTGTCTTTTCCCATTTTGTCTTCTATTGAAAGACCATTTTGTCTTCTACGTTTTTAGTCGTCTATTATAACGTCCTATTGGTCTTCTTTACAAATAATACCTTCTTGTCATTCATTTATTTATCACTTCTGCTCAGATTAACTAACCATTTTTAATACTCACCTTCTCTTTGCTTTTCAGATCACTGGCCTTGAAACCAACATCAATTTCCTGATTGACTTGGCCTCCCATCCTGAATTCCAATCTGGCAATGTTCACACCGGTTTCATTGATCAACATTTCGATACTCTATTCCCACCGGTGGAAATTTCCGATAATGACTTGTGTAAAGCTGCCCTTTCATTGGTGTTCAATGAATTGGAAGCATCCCAAACAAATGCCCCTAGCCGCAACGATCCTTTTGCTGCCTCGGCTAATTTACGTTTGAACTATGACCTAATACGCCAATACCAACTGAAGGCCAATGAGAAGACCTATCAAATCAATGTTAAATTTAATGCTGAAAATATTGAAATTCAAATTGATAATGGCTCGTGGTATACCGTCAAAGCTGATCGCATAGAGGATGGTGAACGTCTAAAGATTCGTTCCAATATTGCCAATAACATTTCCACATACAATGCCTATATTGATGAATCGGAAGTTAGTGTGTTTTTGGAAAATGGTAAATTGGCTTTTGAATTGGTACAACCGAAATTCTTAAATGCTGCCGTTGATCAAATGGGTAGTGCTGGATCGAAGGTAATCGCCCCCATGCCTGGTGTTTTGGAAAAGGTTTTGGTTAAACCGGGCGATAAGGTGAAAAAGGGTGACAACTTGGCCGTATTGATTGCCATGAAAATGGAACACATTCTCAAGGCTCCCAAGGATGCTGTTGTTAAATCGATTGGTGGCGCCGAAGGTTCAAATGTTGCCAAGGGCGCTGCTGTCATTACCTTTGAGGAAGAAGCTGAGAATTAATTGGGAAATTCCTTGACACTACCACTGACAACCTGTACCAGATTTTAAATTGCATTTATTTTTGATATATAGTTTTGATTTTTGATCTTTGTTTTTTTTTAGTAAACTTGGGTGCCTTTTATATATTGCATTTATTTTAAAAACCCTCCTACGTGTATTTATGTAGATTATGTCTTCTTAAGTGAAATGTTAAAATTGTTTTAATTGTAGTTCTTTTTGTATACAAATAAAGACGAGCAATTTTGTGAAGAATTTAAAAAAAAGGATTTTTACTTTTTAAGGCCTAGTGGTCAAGGCCTGGGTGGCGCGTGCTGTGTGCGATGGTGCTGAGTCCTGTTGGAATGTCCAAGGTCTGCGGCCAAAATGTTTGCGTGCCCAAGGCTTTAATACAACCTCCAGAATATTTTCGCGATAATATTCGGCATTTGGTCTGATGCCATGGTCTATTAATACGAGTGGAGAGCGACCATCGGCATTAATGGCGGACCACACCATCACCATGACCGGCGCTTGAATTCTGGTGGCCAACCGAAGGTGCCAATGGTAAACATAACCATTTTGTTTGTTTACAAACTGCCGGACAACGAATGTTTTCTCATCGGAGAAAGCCAAATTCGGCAGTTCAGCACTTTCGGTCAGGCGAAGCAACTCTTTAGCTCTTGAGTCTATTTTCTTTCCGTTGCGGTATAAGTTCTTACACTTTTTGAAATTTCGGTGGCTTTACCTCGAGCCCATTTTTCAATATTTGCCGAATGGAATATTGCGATATGTTCAGCTCACGAGCCATTTTTCGGCCACAGTGACGCGGGTCAAGTCGCTTCTTTACTTTTCGAACCATTTCTGCTGATGTTGCTGTTTTCTTCCGTCCATTTGCCATGACATTGAAGTATTTTAAGAACATATAAAACAAAGGACTTTTCAGGTTCGGAAAACAGAAGATCTTTAGAAGATCTCATATGAAACAGAAGTAGAGTAGTCATGTATAGGAGTTTGTGGAACCCTCCATGGCCCTATGGGCTAGTTTACTCAACACATTGAAAATAAATAAAATAAGAAGACCTTAAGGATATCTTCTACATAATAGAAGGCCTTGCCTAGTCTTGGCGAGGAAATTTTAGGTCTTCTTCCAGAAGTTGGTGTAATGAAATGTTATTGAGAACAATAGGTATTTCTATAACCTTTAAGGTCTACGAAACAGAAGTCCTCGAGAAATTTTTCTATAAAACAGAAGACCTTGACAAGTCTTGCCAAAGAAAATAATTACGAAATTCTTAAAAAATAAAACCTTGAATTAAGAATTATTTCACATTAATTTTTTTATTTTTGTTTTTGAGTTCATTTTCTTTTTGTTCTGTTTTTTTTTTTTTTTTTGGTTTTATCATCATAACATTTAGTTTTGTTGGTTTTTTGTTTATATTTTTTATTTATTCTTCAGTTTGTTTGTTTTTTTTTTCATATATTATTTCGTATCAATATAAGTATATATTTAATTTATATATAATTTTTATTTCAGTTTTTTTTATTTTGTTTTTAATGAATTTAAGTTGTGTTTTTTTTTTTTCTTCTTTTATAAAGCGTAGTAATAATATTTTGTTTATCATTTTTTTTTGTTTTAAATTTCTATATAACATAAAATTGTTAAATTAAATTTTTTCTGCTTTTATGTAGACTTATTGTTGTTGTTTTTCATATTTTTTTTTATATAATATATATGGATTTATTTCGTTATTTTTCTTTTTATTGAAATTATCTCGTTTATAAAAATTAAAAAAATGTCGAATGTTTGTTTTTAATATTTTTTTCTATTTTAGTTTTTATTTTCTCTTTTTTTTAAGAAAGATGAAGAAAAATTAGATAATAAATAAAAAATCGCGTTCCATAGTCGTTTATTTTATATATCATTTAGTTCTAAATCTGTATAGAATGAGTTAAAAAAAATCATTATTTTTTTCTCAATTTGTGTTTTTTATATTTATAGATGTTAATGCATCACTTTTTGTTTTTGGTTTTCAAATGTTAGAATATATATATTTTTTTTTATTAAATATATGTTTGCTTTTATTTGTTGTTTGAATAAATTAAAAAAAAATAGAAATAATATTTTTATAGAGTCCTAAGAACAAAACAAGATAAATATTTTAATGAAGTTCTACAAACAGCAATTAAAATTTTCAAAAAAGATAAATAAGCTTTTTCATTTTAAGTTAAAAAATAAAGAGGTTCACGAACAAAAATTTTATTTGCGTTATTATTTTTTTATTATTGTTATATTATTATTAGTACTATTATTATTATTAGTATTATTGTGATTTTTAATTTTATTATTATTATTTATTTGTTATGAAAAAAAGCAACGGAGAAATTTATAACCAACCTCAAAATGTTTTCAAGATATATGACCAGCAGCCTATCCCTATTATTATTTATTGTTAAAATAAATGAAATTAAAATAAATAAAATTATAGAAATAACACTGAGCCACACAATTTGCATAACACACAAAGATAGAGTAGGAAACCTCAATGGAATTTCCAATTAAACTCCAAAAAGGGCATCCTGGAGAAATGATCTTTGCCAGAACGTTGGAATAATGCAAAAAATAAATAGGTCTTATTGAGAAACACAAATGTTTCTCATACATATCCATAAGGATCCACAAGAGACCATCAGATGTTATTAGAATGCGGGTTTCATTTGGTGTCATGAAACCAAGTTGGTTTTGTCAATTTCGAATGTAAATAAAACCAATGTTCGAAACAGCTGTTGTTGCTTACATATGTTGTTTGTTTATTTGTCATTGAAATATCAGTAAAAGTAAAGTAAATAAAAAAAGGAATAAGTCGCTATAAATAAAGTAAGATGGCATCAGCAGTGGTAGTTTTTGTGTTGTTGGACGAAGAACGCTCAGAAAAGGTGACGAGAAAAGCTCTTAGAGATTTCAGCAACCTACTGGAGTTGCCGGAGATAGCGTAAGCATTTTTTTTATTGTGAACTTACTCATAAAGCTGCTATGCAGATTTATGGTTTATGGTCCTTTAAAAATTATTTAAAAAATCCTTAAAAAATCCACTTTTATGGTCCTTTTAATATCCTTTAAAAAAATCCACGTTTATAATCCATTAAAATTTTTTTAAAAAAAATCCACGTTTATAGTCCTTTGAAATTTTTTTTTAAAAAAATCCACGTTTATAGTCCTTTAAAAATTCTTTTAAAATCCACGTTTATAGTCCTTTAAATATCCTTTAAAAAATCCACATTTTTGGTCCTTTAAATATCCTTTAAAAAATGTTTAAAAAATCCACATTTTTAGTCCTTTGAATATTCTTTAAAAAATCCACGTTTATACTCCTTTGAATATTCTTTAAAAATTGTTTAAAAAATCCACATTTTTAGTCCTTTGAATATTCTTTAAAAAATCCACATTTTTAGTCCTTTGAATATTCTTTAAAAATTGTTTAAAAAATCCACGTTTATACTCCTTTGAATATCCTTTAAAAAATGTTTAAAAAATACACGTTTATAGTCCTTTGAATATTCTTTAAATATTTTTTAAAAAATCCACGTCTATAGTCCTTTAAAAATTCATTAAAAAATCCACGTCTATAGTCCTTTAAAAATTCTTTAAAAAATCCACGTATATAGTCCTTTAAAAATTCTTTAAAAAATCCACATTTTTAGTCCTTGAATATCCTTTAAAAATTCTTTAAAAAATCCAAATTTTTAGTCTATTGAATATCCTTTAAAAATTGTTTAAAAAATCCAAAGCAAATGAAAAGTGACAGCTCTAAGCAACTTTGTTTATTTCCAATAACAAAACCAATAACATTGGCTTCTATGACAACCAAAACCGATAAAATTCTAATTCGAAAATAAAACCGATAACATTGATTTTCATGACACCAAATCATTTTTTCTTGTCGTTTTTAAAACCAATAGTGACAAAATTGGTTTCTATGACAGCCCCTATTGAAGTCATTTCCGACACTGGTCTAATAAGATCCTAGCGCTAAAAACCTCAATGCTGTGGCCAATTGGAACAATTCTAGTTTAATAAAAACTCTACGATTTTTTCGAAATATTTTCCAGAGACAGTTATTTTTACTCTTATTCCGGGAAACTGATTTCCCGTATCCACTTACCCGATATAGGAAATATAGTTATCGTTTGACAACTTATACCTATACCTATCCAACAAGTGGTCACATGACCACCGAAGGCTGGCTATTTGCAACAATTGTTAAATTTAGAAAACTTTAGTTCGTGTAGCCGGTTGAACATAACCAGAAGAGAACATCTCTGGACCTAGAAAGGGTATTAGCAAATTGTTTTCATTTTGGAAAGGTAGGAGTGTTGATAAAAAAAAAATCCGTGTCTAAAATATTTGACTATAACTTCCGAACCGCTTTAAATAACCCCATCAAGTAATAAAAATATTTCAAGAACAGTGTTGGTCGTTTTCTTAAAGCATATTTGAATTGAAAACCGTCATTTCATTCAATAACGCTTCAAAACATATACTCCTATGTAGTCTACTATCGCACCAAAGTACACCAATATCATGGTAAAGGTTAAGAAGATAAAGTCATTTAAAATAAGCGTTTCCATCTCTGCATTTTTTGTAATTTACCTTGTCAAATTGTCTCTGATTTATGAATATACCATGGGATTCATAAATATACATTTTGACAATGAAATGTTGTCAAATGAAAAATGTTGAAAATTTTTTAAACATATGAAAGCATAATTTTACCTTCTTAATTCTACCATGACCAATATATAACATTTTTACCACATGAAAATATGACAGGAAAATTCAATTTTGAAATGTTCAAGAGACATTTATACGAGCAAGGAGAAACTGATAAAAATCACAGCATCAACTAAAAAGTAATATGGAATTCCAAAGTCTAACAGCTAAGAGATGGAAACCGGGGGACAAATTCTTGCATTCAATATCGGAAAAATTCCCATCAAAATTAAAAGACAAAATAACCTTTTTAAAAGAAAACCAAACGGACTTTAACAAGATTTCAAAATCGTCAGAAAAAAAGGACAAATGCCCATCAATTTGAAGCCAATGACATTCAAATAGAGGGACGATTTCACTTCTAGTGGCATATAAAATATCTTATGTTTAATCTATTTATATTCTAATACCCAATTATAGAAGACCTCTAGTTCTTTAAATAGAAAGTCCAATTGTCTTTAAAGAAAAGCTAAAAAAAAGTTTTCTATTACTGCGTTAAAAAATATTCTTTAAAATTCTTCAAAAAAGATCTCTTAACCTTCCATAGTCACATGATACCTTCTGAGGCGGGCAATTAAACTATTCAAAGCCCTGGAAAATTTTCACCCCATAAGAAGAAAGTTTTAAAATTAAAGAGATGTATTCTTTAGAAAGATTTTTCAATAAAGATCTCCTAACCTTCCATACGCACATGATACCTTCTGAGGCGGGCAATTAATCTATTCAAAGCCCTAAACAATTTTCACCCCATAGGAAGAAAGTTTTAAATTTGTTTCCATATCGAATTAGAGAATTTGCCCCCAGTTCGATTTGTTTTGAGTTATTTGACCAATGCTATTAATTGAAATTTCGTATAAATTTCGCTAATGAAACTTGACCCCTGTTGTGATTTTTTTAGTAATGTTTACTGAATTTTTTTTTTTTAAAGTATTTCTTCACGTTGGAGGATTGTTTTGAAATATTTTTGGAAGAAAATAAAAAAATGTGAAGAAATGTGAAAAATGCAAGAATCTACTAGTTTTGCAATTTTCTTCGATGTCATAAAGAGTAAAAACTTTTACATTCTTGCAGTTCTGGAATAGACCATTGGTCTTTAATTTTTTATGTATTTTATAAATTTTGATTTTGACGAAAGTGGATTTTTTGAAATATATTTTTTAATATTTGAAGGTTTTTTCAATATTGTGGATTGCTATCAAATATTTTTTTGAAAGACAGACTGAATGTGAATGTTATAAATCATTGTAAAAAAATACAGCAAGTAACAGCAAGTGTTGTTGTACAACAATCGTAACAACAACCACATATAAATTTGTTTTTGTACGTAATCCAAGTGTCAGAGTTATGTGTCCAAAAATGTAAACAAAATAATTAATTTTCAATAAATTATTTTAATTTCAAAAATATACATTTTTGGAATTTGGATTATTAAATTGAAAATGCAGAAGAATAGTTCTTAAGATAATTAATTTTACAGCCTGTTCCACGATGTCGAAAGAACACGTTCGCACAACTTTTACACCACAAACAGCTGATTTCCGTTCCACTAAAATCCATCAGAACGAAAATTTGCACGAAAATCAAAGCGAACGAAAACGTAAGCGTTTCAGTGTAATTTTGCGTTCCACTATCTTTTTTCTTTCGTACGCATGCGAACACAAATGTCAAAATCAGTCACTTGTGTGTTTGCTGTCGAATAATAAAAATTAAGGAAAATTGTTTTAACATAAACATTCCTTGATTGAAAATGGAAAGAAAAATGTAAGTAAAAATAATAAATGCAATTTAATCTGTGAACAACAAATATATATTTTTTTATTTTCTCAATTCCAGCACGAAAAAACTACACAGCTGCGGGCACTAGTTGAGTATATGGGGGAGAATCCTAAGTTCGCCAGAGGAGTGCCAATTTTTGGAAGCAGCAAGCAATCCCATGAAGACCACTGGAAGACACAAACCTAGAAAAAATCATTTTTTTATTATTTTAAAAATGTAAAAATACAATCATACTTACTGGTTGTTAGGTACTTCAAATAAATTCGAAGCATCTCTTAAATGCCTCCGTGGCACAATTTGAACCTCCTCCTCATCATCCATAAAAAATAGGGCTACAGAAATATTCATTTTTTTTCTTTTTTAAGAACACAAATAATCTGAACACAATCACTAGAAATTTTATTTTGTTTGTTTATTTACAATTTGTTTGTTTACAACTGAACTGTCAGTTGAGACAGAGCCACTGCTGCTTTTTCGCGTTTATATTAGACATTTGGCGCTTTTTTTGCCTTATTTCGCGATTAATTTTGCCAAAAAATATTTTGCAACACTGAATCACGTAAGGCTATGCGAAAGAAAGAACGAAAGTTAGTGGAACGCATTCTTATGCGAAAGTGAGTGAGTAGCCTTCGTTCGCACAAATTTTCTTTCGAGATCGTGGAACAGGCTGTTAATGCTTTCACATCATTCCCCTGAATGTATAGTTGTTAGCTGTTGGTCCTAATCTCTCAACACTTCAAGTAATCGCTAGAAAATCGCGGAAAAGGCAACATCCCTTTCAAGTCGAAATCAATCGGCATACATACATAAAGTATTGTACATTTTCGCAATTTTAGGAAGCATGAATTATACGAATATATTATCTAATGTGGTATCGCTGTTCCTTAACCACAAAAAAAGTTTCCAAACCATCGCCTTTGGCTTTTAGTAAAGTACAACGCCGATTTTCTTCTTATTAGACAAAAAATATGTTCAAATTTTATATCAAAAATGGGCATACCTATTGTATATCAAGAAATGGAATTAAATCACAAAATGTCACATCGAGTTTGACCCTAGTATTACTATAGAGTCAAATCAGCTGGGACTTGCTGTTACCTGTAATAATTGTACCATGGTTATAAATATAGATGAATTATGTCAAACATTAGTTGTGTTTCAGTACTTTTTTAGTAGTAAAACTAGCAGAAGAGAGAACAGTTCGAAATGTCATTCTCAATTAGGTGTGCTCAAAAAATAAGGGAACGGAAAATTAGCAGAAATCCGATAAAATGTCAAAATTCAAAATTCCAAGAGTAAATAGTCCAAATCGGACTCGTGAAACCTTACTGAAACGAACGCCAAAATTTAAAAAATTTAGTATTGAAGACGATACGTTAAAATTAATAATCTATAATAATAATTAATAATCTGATTCATCATTCAGCCAGTCCTCTTCACTACTGGAATCATCCAAAAGTGCTCCATATTTTCTCTTTTTGTTTTTATGCACTACAAATATTAGTTTTTCCTTTAGTTTTTAAGTTGATCATTTCTTTATTTTTGTTATGACGCGGGAACATTGAAATGTATCAATACATTTTTCAACCTTGTTAGCCCTGCCAATTAAATGTCAAATTCACAATTTGCACATTTCTGCTCGGCCAAATTCATGTAGTTTAAACAAGCAGAAATGTGCACCACTCTGCGCCATTTTTTTCTCGAGAGAGCTGCAAGTTTTGCTAGTTTTTGCAGTACGGGAACGCGTTGTAGCAGAATTAGTACTAATTTGTAGGTTCTGGAACAAACCAATTATTTTTGAAAGTTTGGGCCAACATAAGTGTTTAATTTTTCTTTAAATAGTTTTTAATAGTTTAGCTTTTTGTTGAAAATTTAAATCAACTTAGATTCTTTACAAATGTTCCTTCAAGATTTAGACCAAGGTACTTTCATAAAAAAACATTTTTTAGAGATTTAAACCAACGTGATCGACCTCACAGCAGAAGGTGCTCCATTGTCTACATCACCTTCTCATCTACACAGAGCCTGCAACAGTCAATATTGCCTCCATTCCACTTGCAAATTCTAGATGTAACGCGACAATGGATAATCTCTAACTTCAACTAACAAGTCCGATCAAATTTTACACACGACTTAGATTTGTACGAGGAGACCAGAATGGATTCATTTTACAATCAGGGCTGTCATAGAAACCAATTTTGTCACTATTGGTTTTAAAAACGACAAGAAAAAATGCTTTGGTGTCATGAAAATCAATGTTATCGGTTTTATTTTCGAATTAGAATTTTATCGGTTTTGGTTGTCATAGAAGCCAATGTTATTGGTTTTGTTATTGGAAATAAACCAAGTTGCTTAGAGCTGTCACTTTTCATTTGCTTTGGATTTTTTAAACAATTTTTAAAGGATATTCAAAGGACTAAAAATGTGGATTTTTTAAACAATTTTTAAAGGATATTCAAAGCACTATAGACGTGGATTTTTTTAAGAATTTTTAAAGGACTATAGACGTGGATTTTTTATAGAATTTTTAAAGAATGAATTTTTAAACGTGGTTTTTTTTTAAAGAATTTTTAAAAGTTATTTAAAGGACTATCAACGTAGTTTTTTAAAGAATTTTAAAAGGATATTTAAAGGGCTATAAACGTGGAGTTTCAATAGAAGAGGAACCAAAGAATTAAATAAAACTAAAATTCTTTTGGAAAGTCTTCTAAATCTTACAACCGCACTTATAAACATTTACATCTTTCTCCACTTGTTATGCTTTCGTTAAACCTGAACGAAGAAGCATAACCATGTAAGTTGGTTTTGTCTGTTCCTCTTCTATTGAGCTTACGATCTCGTCACTTGGGTAAAAAATGTTTTTTGTCATAGAAGTTATTTTTAAAATAACTTCTGGGGAGAATATCCCAGACAAAAAACAAGGGAACTGATGAGGATTGGTGGCTCTTTCCGAAACCTAGGTATTCCCTGCCTTACCCCCTGGTAAACATTACCATCGTTCTCCACTAATAAACAAACGTTGTTTTTATAAAAAAAAACAACAATAAAAGGGATAAGCCTGACCATTTTGCAACAACAAAATTTTTAAAGGACTATAAACGTGGATTTTTAAAGGACTATAAACGTGGATTTTATAAAGAATTTTTAAAGGACTATAAACGTGGATTTCATTAAGAATTTTTAAAGGACTATAAACGTGAATTTTTTAAGGAATTTTTAACGGACTATAAACGTGGATTTTATAAAGAATTTTTAAAGGACTATAAACAAGCGTTCTTCTTCCAACAACACAAAAACTACCACTGCTGATGCCATCTTACTTTATTTATAGCGACTTATTCCTTTTTTTATTTATTTTACTTTTACTGATATTTCAATGACAAATAAACAAACAACATATGTAAGCAACAACAGCTGTTTCGAACATTGGTTTTATTTACATTCGAAATTGACAAAACTAACTTGGTTTCATGACACCAAATGAAACCAACATTGGTTTACAAAAACGACAATAAGCAAAACCGACATGGTGTCTGTGACACCCCTGATTATAATAAGCATTAGAATACAAGCCAAAAGGTGAGAGTATATAAACAGCTTGAAGTCTTCGCATGGCATATTTTGTGACATATCATAAAGGGATGCCAGAGACGCGGTCAAATTCTGCCGACGTCTCCCTTTATAATTTGACATCAATATGCCTAGCATTAATGCCAAGCTGCTTATGTATCCTCACTTGTAAGCTTGAAAAAAAAACTTTAGAAAAAAGTTTGTGTAATAAATATAGAATAATCGAAATGAATCCCTTATTTATAAGGTTTGTAATAGTGAACGTTTTTTTTTTTAATTTTTTATTCATATCTATTCATTGATGGCCTTTCCCATTTGTCACTACCTCCTGTGGCATTGAGACCTACTTTCGCGTTCTTTAACCATATTATAGCTTCTCCATCTTTTTTACAAATATTGCCCTCCATTGAATTTCCCCAACCTTTTCATGCCTACAGCCTGAAAGATTCCCTGATAAATTAATCATTACCTTAAGAATTAGTTCCGGAAAATATGTCCTAAATTCACACGACTTTGTTTTTTTTACCAAAAGGGAACAAGTATTGTTAAATAAAATTTTATGACAAACTATTTTCATGATACTAGTCTCAGGCTGTCGTCTAAGGCATTTTTGTTATATTAGGAGAGTTCTCTATTGATTCAAGTATATATCTATCTATCCCTTATGAATTCAGATTTATATGGTCCTGTACATTTATGTGCTTTAAGAACCATCTGGACAATAGACATGGAGATTTGTAAGATTTGCCCGAAAAACGCACTAGTTAAACCTCATTCTGTTTGTACGACTGCCGGCTGATGAGCTCCATGCAATCAATAAGGGATCTGGGGTCTTCTCTAAGTTTTGGTCCATTGGTGTAGATTGTTATAACTGTCTGTAAGTTTTTGAGATGGAAGATGGAGGATTTTTTCCCACGATCGGGTAATATATAATTACAACGTTTTGGGAACCAGTTTGATGCCGTCTGCTGTGGTAAGAGCGAAAAACACTGTGTAAGTCATTAAGCGTAGGTACGCTTCAGCATATTTGAGATCAGACTAAAAGGTCCAATGAATAAACATTTCGAATCGAATTCAAAACCGCCTCTCGAGGTATTCTAACAATTGCTCCTATTAAAAGCAGATATATACGCTGCTCACGTTTAACTTTGGACAGTGGTATATTGTTATGCAATAAGACGAGTTCAGGAAAATAACAGGTTGGGCTTTGGACAAGTTCACAGGTTGGGAGTCCTAACTTTGGCAATTAAAAAAAAAAAAAAAACAGTAAAGAAAGTCCTAAAGTCGGGCGGGGCCGACTTTATGATACCCTACACCACTTTGCTAATTTAGTAGAGCTCCGCTTAACAATTAAACGTTTTTATGGGAGAATTCAATCATACACCCTATGATTATAATTTAAAGTTCAAAGGACTAAATATGCCAAAGCATTTGTATTTTTTAAATTCGGACTTGTATTGCCCATTTGGTGCACAATTAATTTGAAATCAGATAAAAATATATATGGGAGCTATATCCAAATCGGAACCGATCTCGATAAAATTTGGCAAAGATATTTCTGAGCTGTATTTGATATATTTCCCTGAATATCGTTGTTACGGAGTGCATATTACGGCTGTGGGTAACAAATATAACAAATCGGATGAACAGTATATATGGGAGCTATAGCTATATCTGAACCGATCTTTACCAAATTTGACATACTAGCTTCTAGACTCAATTCGGTGGTAAGTTGCAAATTTCATCCGATTTGGGCAAATATTAGATGTTTGGTGCACAATTAAATATAAATCGGACGAAGTTATATATGGGAGCTATATCCAAATCTGAACCGATCTCGATAAAATTTTGCAAAGGTATTTCTGAGCTGCATTTGATATGTTTCCTCAAATATTGTTGTTACAGAGTGCATATTACGGCTGCGGAGAACTAAAATAACAAATCGGATGAAAAATATATATGGGAGCTATAGGTATATCTGAACCGATTTCGATTAAATTTGGTATACTTATTTTCAGGTCCAATCTGATCGTACGTGCAAAATTCCATACTATTCGGACTGATATTACACGTTTGGTGCACAACAAAATGCAGATCGGACAAAGATATATATGGGAGCTATATCTAAATTTTGACCGATTATCTCTAATTTCAATAGGGTTCGTCCTTGGGCCAAACAAGTGATTTGTGCAAAATTTCATCTGGATAGGGCAATAAATGCGAACTGTACTTTGTTTACAAAAATACATGGACAGACGGACGGACGGACAGACGGACGGACGGACATGCATAAATCGGCTCAGAATGTGATTCTATGCAGATCATCAAAAGGAACTATGGGTCTATCTCGTTTCCTTTTGCCTGTTACAAACAAATGCACAAAGACATAATACCCTTACCACTATGTGGTGTAGGGTATAAAAAGATAAGGCAACATTAGATCATTTCTGACAACTGTTGTAAAAAATGATGACATTTGAGATAGGAAAGGACAAATCATACTCCTAGCCATGCCAAAGAATTTTTTTTTATGTCTAAGTCCCCAGAATTTACCCTAAGACTTCTTGCAGGAGAAAACCGCAACTGAGTCTTTCCCAGCATTTTCCTCAGTGCTACTTTTTCAAGCTAACTCCAAGGTATTCGTCCTATCTTTTTCGAGAGTAAACGACATAATTAACTTTCGGCCTTTAAAAATAATCACTTAACCTCACTTTTTGAATTTTATTTATTTAAGAAAAATTGAATTTGAATATAGTGAATTAGGGAGGATCTCTGATATTATTTTCGTCAAACAACTAAATGTACCTATAAATTATGACCTTAAATTCTTTGAAATTTCTTCTCTTTCCACTCCTTCTTTTTTAAAAAAAAAATAAGAAATTTAAAAAATATATATAAATTACTAACATATATAAATATCGTTCGTTTTTTTCTTTTAAGAATATTTGTTTTATTTGTTATTGTTTTTTTTTTTTAATTTGTGAAGGATAATCAGGACTGGTTGAAAAGTTGAAGGGACTTTTAGGGGGAACATTCTTTCATGTGTGTATGGTTGTTGTTTGAAAATTGAATTGAGGGGGGAAATAAAGTTTGTTGGTTTTGTTTTTGTTATTTTTTTTTATATTAAATTAATAGTAATTATTATTTAATAATATTTTTTCTTTTGTTTTTTTTTATTTATTTTTTAATAATTAATTAATTCTTTAGTGTGAAAAAAGAACATTGTTTTCTTTTTGTTTATTTTCTTTGTTTCTGTTGTTTCATCAAATCGATTTTTATATTTATCATCATCATTATTATAATTAATATTTTTTAAAAAATGTTTGCTTTTCTTGTTCTTGTTCTTGCTGTTGTTGTGGTTCTTGTTGTTGTTGTTTTTCTTTCGTTTACTCTTTCCCTTTGCATAGTAGAGTTTAAATAATATTTCAATATTTTTCAACTTCATCTACGTGTTGTTTGCTGTTGTTGTTGTTGTAGTTAGTTCCTGTTGCTCAATGTTCTGCTGCTTTTGTTCCGCTTGTTGTTGGTCATTTATTGTTGTTGTGGTTGTTGTATTTACAGTCTGCAAATGATCAGCAACATTACCTCCGCTTCCGCCGCCGCCTCCCAAGACATTTGTCATTGTCCCAAGGGTCCTCATAGCCGGATTGTTGAGTACATTTAAAATATGTGTGGTCGTCGATAAGTCTTTGTCCTTTTTCATCGTAGCTGTTGTTGTTGTTGCCATTGTTGTAGTCACTGTATTACTGCTATTTGTCGTCAATATATTTGTTGATGTTGTTGGCATATCCGTGGTGCTAATGACGCCGCTGACGGACTGTAAAGGAGAAAAATGGGTGGTAATGGAGGAGAAGAAGAAGGAAAAAAGAAAAATATTTATTAGAATAATTTTGAAAATATTTGTTCGAAAATAAAAGAAAATACATTTAAAAGGCAAATATCCTGCCAAGGCGATTTCAAAGATTATACCACTTTCTTTTGAATACTTCTGTGTACCAAAGATCTACAGAGGGTCTTCTATCCATACAACTGTAGAGAACTTGTAGAAAAAGACCTGTAAAGGGTCCTCCATTAATAGAAGACCTGTATAGTTTCTTCTATTCATTTAAAGCCCGTAGAAGGCGTTCTTTTATCCATGGAAGACCTGTTGGGGCCTTGTATCCATAGAAGACCTGTAAAAAATCTACTGCCCATAGAAGTCATGTTGAACCTCACCCAAACGTATAAGAACTATAGCAGGTCTTCTATTTACTGAATTCAAGACTACTATCCATAGAAGACCTGCAGAGGGTGCTCCATAAATAGGAGACCAGTAAAGTCGCTGCTATCCATTGAAAGCCGGTAGAGGTTGTTCTTTTATCCATAGAAGACCTGAGGGGCCTTGTATCCATAGAAAACCTGTAGAGAATCTCTTGCCCATAAAAGGCCTGTTGAATCTCACCCAAAGGTATAAGAGCTGTAGAGGGTCCTCTATTTATAGAAGACCTTTGTTTAAAGGATCTTTTGTTCGCAGAATTCAAGACTACTATCCATAGAAGACCTGTAAAGGGTGCTCCATAAATAGGAGACCAGTAAAGTTTCTTCTATCCATTTAAAGCCGGTAGAGGGTGTTCTTATATTCATAGAAGACCTGAAGGGCCTTGTATGCATAGAAAACTTGTAGAAAATCTACTGCCCATAGAAGGCCTGTTGAACCTCACCCAAAGGTATAAGAGCTTTAGATAGAAGACCTTTGTTTAGAGGATCTTCTATTCACAGAAGACATTTGAAGGTCTTCTATTTATGGGGGACCTTGGAATCTTTATCCATAAAAGGCTTGTAGAGGGTCTTCTATCCATGAAGACATTTAGGGTCCTTGTATTCTATCCAGAGAATAGCTGAAGAGGGTCTTCTATGCACAGAAGACATGTAGGGGCCATGTATTCGTATAAGACCTGCACAGGGTATTCTACCCAGAAGAAGGTATTCCATCCATAGAAGACCGGTAGAGGTACTTCTGTCCACCTGAAGACCTGAAGAACGTCTTCCATTCGTATAAGAACTGTCGATGGCCTTCTATCCATAGAAGACCTATAGAGAGTCTTCGAGCAACTTTTTACCAATTAAAGCCATTAAGAGGATCTTCTATCGAAAGAAGACCTGCAGAGAGTCTATTGAAGACCTATAGAGGACTTTTTACCTATTGAAACTTGTGGAGGTTCTTTTATCCATAGAGCCGCTGTAGAGAATATTCTTTTTATTGAAGATCATTAGAGCTTCTACTATCCGTAGATGATCTGCACATGCTTCCAGATAGGCTTCTATCCATAAATGACCAATATTGGACCTTCAAGGCTCTTCTGTTCCTATCAAATCAGAACGTGGTAGCATCTTAAAATTATGCAGCTTGACAGGAAAAACAAACAAAAACTAAATAAATCATTATAAGTAAAAAACATTTACAAAGTGGTGTGGTTGTTGTTGTTGCTGTTAAATCGAGAACACGAACAATAATGCCAAGCGCAACAGTGACAAGCGTTTATTTTGATTTCAAACAAAAATGTCGGTGAAATATAAATGTGAAGCTGCTGATTATTTTTTTCAATATTCTTTTGTATAGGTGTGTGTGTGTAAAAAGTGTTGTGGTTTGCATTTTTTTTTAATTCTTGGAATTTGTGAATTATTATTTTATTTTAAATTTGCCAAACAAAAACAAAATCACAATTTCAAGCCGTTGCAGTTTACTTACAGAAATAAATCGAAACAAAATGTAAAGAAGAACTAAAATAAATGATAAAAATAAAATCTGATACTAAGTCAATGTGCGCATCACAAGCTAATCGTTAAACGACATATTTCACTTTATTCAGGTTAAATCACTGCCGAAGCAGAAATTAGAATAGCAATGGGGAAGCCGAAGTATTTACAAACCAGTGGAAAGTGTTTTACGAAGCTCAAGGTGATTTTAATTAGGGACATGGAAATAAGCAATAAAATAAACCCGAGAACAATGACATGAAACAGTGTTTGTTCCTTCGGCGGCTAAATTTTGCTCGGCTCGTTATTAAAGGGTGATTTTTAAGCCATTATCTTTTTGACAATACTGCTTTAATCAAACAGCTCTCGTGTTTTGTTTCACTGAAAACATCTCCTGTTTGGTCTATAATTTAACCCTGAACCGGCTTACAGACGAACAAAGCTTGTAAATCATTAAATTTCATTATCCAAATCCGTGCTCTGTTAAGAAAGTTCATCGCATGCTTCTTTCATTTTATGGTCAGTTTAATCGACCCATTGAAGAAGCTGCTTTTCGGGTTATTTAGGTTCTTAGAAAATATGGTAATGATCACCATCAATTATCGATTCGTCGACGTTTGCAGCAATTGGGCCTCTGTTATTCAACAACGTGGAGTATTTTGCGGAAGAAATAAGGTATGAAGCCTTTCAGGGGCTCCTTTAAAAGTTTAGCTTAAGATTCACTTTTTATACTCACAGCCATATGGCTAGAGAGGGTATACAGGGTGAGATACAAAAACTGCAAAAAAGTCAAACGCCATAATTTTTACAAAATTTTTTCATTTCTATTGAATGAAAGCAAATAATGTCGGAAATAGCATCAAATTTTAGAATAAGTTTAGATTTGTTTGAATTGGTCACCTTTGGCACGAATTATGGCCTTCAAACGGCCAATGAAACCGTCACGCGCTTCCGGAATGTTGCTCTGCGGTACTTTGGTCCATCCCGGTGAAGCGCTTGCTTGATGTGATCGACACTTTGGTAGTTTGTAGTACCAATCTTGCTTTCCAAAATACTCCAGACACAATAGTCCAACGGATTGGTATCCGTAGATTTGTGTGGCCATTGTTCGCTGGAAATGAAGCGAGGAACCTCATTTTGTAACCATTCTTGGGTGGCGCGTGCTTAGAGCGATGGTGCTGAGTCCTGTTGGAATGTCCAAGGCCAGCGGCCAAAATGTTTGCGTGCCCAAGGCTTTAATACACCCTCCAGAATATTTTCGCGATAATGTTCGGCATTTATTCTGATGCCACGGTCGATTAATACGAGCGAAGGGCGACCATCGGCTGTTATGGCGGCCCACACCATCACCATGGCCGCTTGAGGCGCTTGAGTTCTGGTGGCCAACCGAAGATGCACATTTTCAGCTGACCTCTTTGGCAAGTAAACACGATCATTTTGATTGTTAACAAACTGCTGAACAACGAATGTTTTCTCCACGGAGAAAAGCAAATTCGGTAGTTCACCACTTTCGGCAAAGCGAAGCAACTCTTTAGCTCATTTGAGTTTATTTTCTTTCTGTTGCGGTGTAAGTTCTTGCACTTTTTGGAATTTTAATGGCTTTGCCCCGAGCTCATTTTTCAATATTTGCGACGCGGGTTTCGATCAAGCCGCTTCGTTACTTTTCGAACCATTTCCGCTGATGTTTCTGTTTTCTTCCGTCCACTTTCTTGACGTCGGACTACACTACCAGTATCACGGTAACGAGCGATGGTACGGGACACAAAAGATTTATTCACATTTAAATGCTGGAATGCTCTAACAATAGCCACTTGTTGAAATCACACTATCACGCCTGAATTCCATCACGAATAACTTCTTTTCTGGAATATTCTCACCAAAATGCTTTTGTCCGCTTGTAAACAATATAATGAACTGTCACTGGAATAATTTTAACAGCTGTCGGACGAGTGGCTTAGAAAATGGTTGCAGTTTTTTCATCTCACCCTGTATATTTAGATACCTAGGAATAATTTAAATGCCTGCAAAAAGTTTCACAACTCAATCTGACAGAGAGATCGGCATAGAATTGTTCTAGCTTACCCGAAACAAACGCATCGTGTGATCCCTGCCAAATATTTTATCGAATTTCAAGCAGAATGACAAAAATAATATAACTTCCTCCCCACTTTTGTGGTGGGGGGGGGGGGGGTGTTAAAAAGAAAACGTATTTTAAAATATGCCAAGCTAGGTGTTAAGCTCCAAAACACAGAGACACGTACTCAAACGCACGCATTGCAATTCATTTCTATCTACAAACTGCTGTTAGATTATAAGGCCATGGGGTGCGAGACATATACAAAAATGATTATCTGATTTGCAATTAGTCAGAGTAAAAGAAAAAAAACTTTACTATTTTGCTGTTGCTAAGCCAAACAAATGTGTAAAACAAAAGGTTAGCAGAATTATCCTGAAGACAGATTAACCATTGGTGACAATTCAATAAAATGTGGAAGCCATTAGGAAATTAAGCAAAACTAAACTTAACAAAAATTAGTTTGTTAAAATGCACGCACGCACGCACACACATATTTGTAATATTTTTTGTTGCAATATTTGGTGGTGCTCTGTGGTGGTTCGATGAATAAACAAACAAAACGAAAGAAAACAAAAGTTTGAAGAAACAAAATGACAATGAAATGAAAGGGAACGGAACGGAACAGAACAGAAAAGTAAAGTAAAGCGGAAATTAAACTAACTTGGCACAGCAAATCATACTAAACGGCTTGAAGTGTTACCGCGTTGTTGTTTCTGTTGTTGTTGTTGCTGTTGTTGTTGGAGTAATAATTGTTGTTGATGTTGCTGTAATTGTTGTTGATGAAGATGTTGTTGAAGTTGTTGCTGTTTACTGTTGCCCATTGAACGCTATTGGTTTTTTATTTTTGTTAAGGGGCAGTGGATAGAGTTGAGTTGAGTCGAAAGAAAGGAAAGGGGGGTCGATTGTTAGAAAAAAAAAACATTGGATTTGAAAAAAGGGGAATCATTAGAAATTATTATTATTTTGAATGGAAAATATTCAAAAACAAAATTAAAAAAAGGGAATATTGGTTAGAATGGCAAACAACATAAATTCGAGAAGAAAATAACATAACAACATTATATATTCCCATATTCCAAACCAAAACAAATGGGGCTACGATGCAACTCCCTTCTCCTCCTCCTTCTTCTTATCAATTTCATGCAAACTTACCGTTTTTGGCGATAGCGACAAATGTTTCAAAGTACTAGTTAAACCATTTATATTGTATAGTTCCGTTTGGGTTTCAGTCACGACGGCCATCGTTGAAGAGGAGGATGGCGACCCCGTTGTTGTTGTTACTGCTGCTGTTGTTGTTGTCGATGTTGTGGAATTATCAACATTGGATTTTGTCTCACCGCTATTAAATGTATTGGAAACATTGCCACCACTTCCTATCCATTCGCCAGTTGAACCACCCGGTGGTACACCGACCAGTAGCTTTTTAACATTTGGTGCATTTCGAGAAATCATCAATTGTTTTTGTTTTTCCTGTTGTTGTGACTCCTCCTCTGATGACATATTTTTACTTATCAAATCGGCAATTATATTCAAATCGGGCACCTTTTCATTGCCACCAGACGACTTGATTGTGTTCAATTGCTGGTTTTGTTGTGGCTGCTGTTGTTGTTGTCTTTGGGTTTCTTCATTGGTTTCAGCATCGGATTCATTGGTTTCTTCTTGTTCCTAAAAAGAGAAGAGGGAATTTGAGATGTAATGTAGAATTATCAGAAATGGATAAAACTTGAAAAAATATGAATAAATAATTGTCGATACATTTTTTTGGGATATTTTGTATTTTTTTTAATTTAGTTTAATTTTTCAATCTATAGACAATTTATCCATAGAGAATATTTTCTATAGAAAATTTATCGATAGTGAAAATTTTCTGTAGAAAATTTATCGATAGTGAAAATTTTCTGTAGAAATGTTATAGATAGGGAAAATTTTCTGTAGAAAATTTATCGATAGTGAATATTTTTCTATAGAAAAATTATAGATAGTGATATTTTTCTATAGAAAAATTATCGATAGTGATATTTTTCTATAGAAAAATTATCGATAGTGATATTTTTCTATAGAAAAATTATCGATAGTGCTATTTTTCTGTAGAAAAATTATCAATAGTGCTATTTTTCTGTAGAAAAATTATCGATAGTGCTATTTTTCTGTAGAAAAATTATCGATAGTGCTATTTTTCTGTAGAAAAATTATCGATAGTCCTATTTTTCTGTAGAAAAATTATCGGTAGTGCTATTTTCCTGTAGAAAAATTATCGATAGTGCTATTTTTCTGTAGAAAAATTATCGATAGTACTATTTTTCTGTAGAAAAATTATCGATAGTGCTATTTTTCTGTAGAAAAATTATCGATAGTGCTATTTTTCTGTAGAAAAATTATCGATAGTGCTATTTTTCTATAGAAAAATTGTCGATAGTGCTATTTTTCTATAGAAAAATTGTCGATAGTGCTATTTTTCTATAGAAAAATTGTCGATAGTGCTATTTTTCTATAGAAAATTTGTCGATAGTGCTATTTTTCTATAGAAAATTTGTCGATAGTGCTATTTTTCTATAGAAAATTTATCGATAGTGAACATTTTTTATAGAAAATTTATCGATAGTGAACATTTTCTATAGAAAATTTAACGATAGTGAACATTTTCTATAGAAAATTTAACGATAGTGAACATTTTCTATAGAAAATTTAACGATAGTGAACATTTTCTATAGAAAATTTATTGATAGTGAAAATTTTCTGTAGAAAATTTATCGATAGTGAAAATTTTCTGTAGAAAATTTATCGATAGTGAAAATTTTCTGTAGAAAATTTATCGATAGTGAAAATTTTCTGTAGAAAATTTATCGATAGTGAAAATTTTCTGTAGAAAATTTATCGATAGTGAATACTTTCTATATAAATAGTGAAAAAAAATAAATAGTGAAATTTTTCTGGAGAAAATTTATCGATAGTGAGTATTTTCTTTAGAAGATTTATCGATAGTGAATACTTTCTATATAAATAGTGAAAAAAAAATAAATAGTGAAATTTTTCTGGAGAAAATTTATCGATAGTGAGTATTTTCTTTAGAATATTTATCGAAAGTGAACATTTTCTATAGAAAATTTAGCGATATTTCTCGCTCCACTTTCTCCTACTCTAAATTTTTTTCTTACCTCTTCGGGACACAATTCATATGCCATGGACCAGGTATTCTTTGCCGAATGCGATCTCTCTAACATATAGCCATTTGTGTTGTCATTACTTTGAGCCGGTGGTGACCATGAATATGAATTATATTGACATCCAATGCCACGCTGGCGATCCAATTCATCCTGCAGCCATTCCACAGCAATTATCCAATGTCTACTGACCGATGGATTTGAATTTAACATTTGTAATGCCACCGATGACTTGTGGAACAATTGTGTTAGACACTTAATGATTTGATAGGCTCGCTTTTGGTAATGGGTCTTCGAACGTTGTATTGTCTCGAGTAGACCCTCTCGCTCTTCAGCGACACCATTTAAAGCGTTGTGAATGCGATGATGTTGCCACGAATCTTCGATCAATAGAATATGAAGCAACAGCTCGGTGTGATGGCGCATGTCATGACAATAGGCAAAGCCGCATTGCCACAGAAGCTCAGTGAGAACGGCACGAGAGAAATGGGGATTTTCCCAACTGCAATACTGTAATAGTTTTAGGCCCTCTTCTCCCACATTTGTGTCCTCAATGAGCTTTTTAATGTAACTGTAAAGAAAATGAATTTAATATGAAAATATGTTTCTATTATAACAATATTACCCCGTCCTATTGAACAAGATATCAACACATTCTGGTGATAAAGGCATTAAATCTTCATGACTTATACTGGGATCTTTATAAGGATTCGGTAGCGGTCTTCCTTGGGGATTTGACGATTGACATTTGTCGGAAATATCACTGCAGCGTATTAATTGTGATACAACTTGATGTAGTTTACTCAATTCGGGATATTGATATTTTATTGAAGGACCAGGTCCCTCATCCAAAGCCACTTGCATAAATATAACGGGAACATTTAACTGTGGCAATGAAATAGTAACGTTATTAAAAAAATATTTTAAAATCGCACCCTGCCAACTCCACACCTGCTTACCTTTAAAAGTTGTTGCTTCTCTTGTATGCCTAAACCAACATACATGCTAAATAAACTAAAATAGTGTGGCAAATGTTTACCATGATCTGCTACTTCACATTTTAATAACTTAAGAACACTTATGAGAATTTGTTCACATAAATTATTGCCCTCATAGCCAGCCAGCGGCTCATCGTTGATGGCAAAATGACAAAAGAATACAACTAATTTAACAATAACAGTACGAACTTCTGGTGATGGTGCTATTAAAATGTATTCGCCCAAACGTGTTGGTGGACTAAGTAATGCATTGCTGGCAAACCATTTGCGTACAGCCGATGAATAACGTATATGATGTGATAGGGTATCATACCTGGAAGAAGAATAATATAGTCCGGAAAATTATTACAGAAATATTGAGCTGGAGTTATGTGTGACAACTTACCATTCAATAACTGGTCCACGCAATGTTTTCTTTGTACGAAAACCGGTATGAAATAGAAATTGTGAAGCCAATTGGACACCCAATAGGGATAGTTCTTCAGCGGATGGGGTCTGTAAGGGAAAACGTAAGACAAATTAAAATAAATAAATACAAGATAAAAAATTATCGATACAAAGAAAAAAATTTTAGAATATTTATGGATAGTGAAAATTTTCTATAGAAAATTAATCGATAGTTAAAATTTTCTATAGAAAATTAATCGATAGTGAACATTTTCTATAGAAAATTTATCGATAGTGAAAATTTTCTATAGAAAATTAATCGATAGTGAACATTTTCTATAGAAAATTTATCGATAGTGAACATTTTCTATAGAAAATTTATCGATAGTGAAAATTTTCTATAGAAAATTTATCGATAGTGAAAATTTTCTATAGAAAACTTATCGATAGTGAAAATTTTCTATAGAAAATTTATCGATAGTGAAAATTTTCTATAGAAAATTTATCGATAGTGAAAATTTTCTATAGAACATTTATCGATAGTGAAAATTTTCTATAGAACATTTATCGATAGTGAAAATTTTCTATAGAACATTTATCGATAGTGAAAATTTTCTATAGAACATTTATCGATAGTGAAAATTTTCTATAGAACATTTATCGATAGTGAAAATTTTCTATAGAAAATGTATCGATAGTGAAAATTTTCTATAGAAAATTGATCGATAGTGAAAATTTTCTATAGAAAATTGATCGATAGTGAAAATTTTCTATAGAAAATTGATCGATAGTGAAAATTTTCTATAGAAAATTGATCGATAGTGAAAATTTTCTATAGAAAATTGATCGATAGTGAAAATTTTCTATAGAAAGATTATCGATAGTGAACATTTTCTATAGAAAGATTATCGATAGTGAACATTTTCTATAGAAAATTTATCGATAGTGAACATTTTCTATAGAAAATTTATCGATAGTGAAAATTTTCTACAGAAATAATAATAATATAATATTTTCTTATAGAAAAAATATAGACAATGATATTTTGCCATAGAAAAAATATCGATAGTGATTTTTTCTTATAGAAAAAATATAGACAATGATATTTTGCCATAAAAAAAATATCGATAGTGATATTATCCTATAGTAAAAATATCGATAGTAAAATTTTTCTATGGAAAAAATATCAAATAAGAATTTTTTCTATAGAAAAAATATCGACAGTGAATTTTAAAATATTTTAAAAATATCGATAGTGAAAATTTTCTGTAGAAAATTTATCGATAGTGAAAATTTTCTATAGAAAATGTATCGATAGTGAAAATTTTCTATAGAAAAGGTATCGATAGTGAACATTTTCTATAGAAAATGTATCGATAGTGAACATTTTCTATAGAAATTTTATGGATAGTTAACATTTTCTATAGAAAATTTATGGATAGTTAACATTTTCTATAGAAAATTTATGGATATTTAACTTTTTGTATAGAAAATTTATCGATAGTTAACTTTTTGTATAGAAAATTTCTCGATAGTTAACTTTTCCTATAGAAAATTTATCGATAGTGAAATTAGTCTATAGAATCATCGTTTTATATAAAAAATTTATCGATAGTGAACATTTTATATAGCAAATTTATCGATAGTAATATTTTGCTATAGAAAATGTATCGTCAGTGATATTTTCCTATAGGAAAAATATTAGAAATGAAATTTTTCTATAGATAAAATATTGATAGTAAAATGTTTTCTATAGAAAAATATCGATAGCGAAGTTTTTTCTATAGAAAAAATACCGATAGTGAAGTTTTTCTATAGAAGAAATATCGATGGTGAAGTTTTTCTATAGAAGAAATATCGATGGTGAAGTTTTTCTATAGAAGAAATATCGACATTGAAGTTTTTCTATAGAAAAATATTGATAGTGAAGTTTTTCTATAGAAAAAATATTTATAGTGAAATTTTTCTATAGAAAATTTAATTGGAAAATTTCAATTGAACATAAAAATAAAAATAATATCTACTTACCACTTTTTCGGCCCTAATGGGAGGAATACTGCAACTAACCAATTTTTTAATAAAATTGAAAAATTCTACAGAAAATATACTTCTTGAATGCAAGAAACGTATATTCTGATTCCTAAAAAAAGCAAAACACAAGAAATCATGATCAACAATTTTTAAATTGAAAATAATATAAAAAAATATTGAATTCATACCTAACACTCCTCTCAATCGGTTTTGGCAATGGCAATACAAAATTACGACTTTCCGCTAATGAAAGTTGCTCTACACTCGGTTCAAATTGTATTGGTTTTTGATCACAGCGTGTATAGAATAGCATATAGGCATTCCACCAACGTTTCTGTCGGCGATATTGCATTCGCTTTAGGTTGCTATCGTATATTTCGCCCATATATTCACCGCCAAAGCACTGGGCCTTCATTTCTTCGTCTTCGTTCATTTTACATTCGGTAACTTCACCATCATCGAATTTATACCATTGTTCTTTGCCAGTGGAGGGATTTCTGGAAAATAGAGGATGAAAAATATTTGAAGTGATTGATATGTATTGAAATATTAATTACAAGGTCAAATATTATCCAAACATCCACAGAAGACAGAGAAATCACATCTTGTCAGAGAAACCTCACATGCCTCTTCTTAAAGAGAACCAGATAGGTTTTTGTCAAAAGAAGATAACATGAGTTTTCTTAGCAAAGGTCTTTTTATAGAGTATAGGGCACTTCTCTTGAAATTTTTGACTTAGCACTTCTTGTAGAAAGGCATTTAGAACTCTTTCTAAAAAACGTTTTTAACATTTTGACAAAGGACAATTCGATTTTTAAAATATTTGAATGGTTTGATTAATTTGACCCCAAGAGTCGAAACTTGATTTTTTTAAATAAAATATAGATTTTATTCCACCACTTACTTTGATAGAATGTAACTGAAATAATGGCCACCGGAAGCCTGGCCGCTATGCACAACAATACCAGTCAATTCGTATTTGGTACATTCATCATTCGATTGGCAATTATCGCCAACCTCGATTACTTCGCCCTCCAGTTTGGCTAGGCCAGATACTGTAAAGAAAAGAAATACCAAATTAGTATTGAAATAAATTCCATATTTGATCTCTCATCAAATCACCTGTATAGGGCTCCATATCTAAAAGTCTTGGAAATTCAAAGTAATCATTAAATTTAATCGCGCAAACACGTTCATAATCATATTCAAAACGTTTCAATTGTATGGCTAATACAGGCGGTAATTTCTTTACACATAACCGCTTAATTGTAACTACCTAAAAGAGGCAGGGAAGGAAGAGAAAATTAGAACGAGTTTGTATGGCATAAAGGGAGGTGCTGGAACTTACTTTCTTATCACATTTATCACAATGGTATGCATCAGCGCCCTCCAAGAGTTCACCTTTAACGTACTGCTCTAGAGATTCGGTTAACGAACTATGATTTCTAATGTCCACACTGAAAACACTAAAGGGCTCCTCTTTCGAGTAACGATGTGGACATTCTTGACAGATTTTCTGATCACTAAACGAACCGCCCAATGTGGCATTCATCAATTGGGTATGACCCAAGGCCTTGAGGCCCTCATCCAGACTTTCGAAAAGAGACATGAAAAATTCCACAGCATCTTGTTGTTCACGTAAGTTGACGGGTTCACCTTGGAGTCTAATAAATGAGAAAGGAGAAGAAAAAAAATTACCGATTAAAAAAAAGTTAAAATTAATTCAAATTCAGGTGGGCCGAACTTTTTATACCCTGTACCATGTGAAATCATTATTTATGGATAAGTATGGAAATTAAGATATATGAGGGATATACCTATATTGAATATTAATTTAGAGGAGTTAATCTAACCAAAAATAACCCGAAATATAAATTTGACTGAGTCGAGACCTTGAAAATACCTAAAATCAAATTCATTGGGACTGGACCAAAAGGGAGACCTTAATATCATTTTTTTGTGAGAGTGGGAAATTTCAAATTACTGGTGATCGACATCAACTCTATACCTCCTCTCTTTTTTCCGTATGAACACAATGGAGTCGGCCTCCGAGTGAAGTGGGTGCCAAAAAAAAAAAAAAAACAATCAACCCAAAACCCTACCTAACTTTGATAGACATATGGCGACTAAACATTTAAAGTGCTTTTGTGAGGATACTGGTGATTTGGTTGGACTTCTGCCTTCTTTAATTCTACAAACTATTCTCTCTCTTCCACTCTTTATTCAGAATAAACACAATGCAGCATCGGCCTCAGAGTGATGTGGCTGCCAAAAAAAGCCCAACCACTCTGCCAAAACCTCAGCTAAACTTGAGAGAATAGTATACCCTCAGCCATATGTCTATGTGGTTTATATCATTTGATATGGCCAAAACGATCTAGGGTTGTCCGTCCTTCCCCCCTTATTACCGTCTGTCCGGCTGGCTGGTACGCTAGATAACTCTCGAAGGGAGTATCCGATTTGATCCAAACTTGGTACATCGTAATATTATTGTCAAGCTTAGATCGAGTTCGGAGATGAGCAATATCGGTCTACTCCTTCTGATACCTCCCCCCACAAAATGCCAACATTTTTAAAGAAAATAATTTACTGCACTGAAAGAGAAAGGATATCTCGATTTTGGTTCAACTTCGCATATATTAATATTTCCATCAGTGCTAGGTCAGGAGCGAAAATGTACAATATCGGTCCACTCCATCAAGTACCTCCCCCAATAAATGGTCAACATTTTGAATTATAATTAAAAAATTTAATGATCGAGTCCGATTGTATTTAAATTAAACACATCATAATATTTTTGAAGAGGGAATATATCGGTCCACTCCTTCTGGTACCTCCCCCACACAGATGTTTAAAAATTTTGAATTTTTCATGAAGCTTATAAAACGCGAAATTAACATTCGATTCCATTCAAACTTAGATTATCTTTATATTTCCATCAACACAAGATCTGTTAAAAAGATGTTAGAGATCGGACCATTTCTTCTGGTACCTCCCCCACAAAGGGTCAACGTTTTGAATAGCCAAAACAATCATAAAATCCAAAATAAGCATCCTGTTCTCTTCATATTTCACACATCTCAACACTTTCGATAACACAAGGTATGTTATGAAGATGGTAGAGATCGAACCATTTATTGTGGTACCTCCCCCCAAAAGGGTCACAATTTTGAATAACCAAAACTATCATAAAATTTGAAATAAGCATCCGGTTCTCTTCAAATTTCGTACATCCCATTATTTCTACAAACACAAGATCTGCTGTGAAGATGATATATATCATCGAACACCTTCTAGAACCACAAAGGGTCACAATTTTTATCTGTCATAACTTGCTATTTATTTAGGTCCGATACGAAATGGACATTATTGGCCCATTCCTTCTGAACCTACTCCATAGAGGGTCAACAGTTTAAATAATCTAAACACAAGTCAAAATATTTTTAAATAATTCAACATTGGCTATATAGCCTATACATCTGTCTGCAAAACCGACCGATACTTTTTTACTTGTTTTGATTTTGATTAACCCATTAATGGAAAAATCCTATTGCCTCGACGGCATTCTATACTCACTTGAAATGTGTCCACAAACCGCGTGGCACATAAAACTGTAATGCACTGTGTCCCAAATGGGCAAAAATCGCCTGTACATGTTTCAGAATGACGACATGATAGTTCTTCCTGGTGTCATTGTTGCTGTCATCGTTATTGGAATTGAAAAAGGGCGAGGCACCAGCAGCCGCCATGAGAACATTCGATTCTGGTTCACCGCTAAAATCTTCACTTTCATTGGTGGCCGCTCCCTCGGCTTTCAAGATACCCACACGTATCGAGGGTACCATATATAGTTGTTGTAACACCGAATTCATGTAGCAAGTGGCACCGGCATTTTTTAGACCACAAAAACCCTTGGCTGGTCTGGGGCCCACTGGCGGCAAATAATCCCATTCACGCAGGGGATCGGTATCTAGAAGAAGAAGCAAAAGATAATTACATATAGAACATCACCTAGAGTCCCAGAGGGGACACCTTACCTGTACACACAAAATCTATTAGAGTATTCGTTAATAATTTCATATTAGGAACGCAATTCTGACATAACGCTATCAATAATTCACAGGCAGCGGCTATTGTGTGCGGACTACGACACACCGGAGGAGGGGCAGTTTCGGTTTTCAATTTACCACTTTTACGTAAATGCAAGTACTCCCTGGAGGCGGTGAACAAGAATGCATCGATCAGCTCGTGTATTAAGTCGTTGAGTTGGGCCTTCGTTTCGGGCATTAGGAAAGACATCAATTCCTTGGCTAAGCACAAATGACCTTCGAGTAGATCTTCATGGACCTGTATATCGCCCGTGGTGGTGACATTTTCCCGTATCTTTTGCAGCCATTTGATTTCCTCGGCCAGCAGACCCTCGCCAATGTTTAAGGGCCAATTGACCAGACAGCCATAGGACAGAGTGCGACACAGCAGCTGGAAGAAATCGGCACAGGTGGCCTCATGCTGTGGCACTAGGGTCTTCAATGAACTAATCAATAGATTGACCATATAGGCAAATGGCCTTCGATCGCCGGCACAATAGGTGCAGGTCAAAAACAGCTGTTCCGCTGCCACTTGTCGCACATGCCTCGATTGATTCTTCAATATCAATGATGTTATAAATTTCGGCCACAATGGATCAGAATTCAAAGCCTCATTGGCACTTGGATTGAGAACCAACGAAATGGTCAGCACCTCCAAAGCCTCTTTACAGACCATAAAATCTTGGCTATCCGGTGTTGAGTTGTCATCGGCAAAATCATTCTTTGTACCCAGCGCCTGTAAATTGCCGCACGACGATGCCCAGGCCAGTTGGACCACAGCCTTAATGGTCGATATATCGGGACATGACCACTGCAGAGTACTGGCAAACAGCACCCGACAACGTTCACCCTCAGGACAAGCCGATAACATTTCCGTGGCTAAATTCTCAGCCAATTTCTGTGAGATGGCTCTTAAAGTAATCTCTGAGGTATTTGGTATTGAGGTTAAGATTTGTTTTAGAATATCCACCTGGGATCTGGAGCCCACATCGTATTCGCACAGAGTCGGTTCGTCGCCCACCCGTGACAGCACACAGCCCACAATGTAGAGGAATAGTTTGGCCAGACGCAAAACACACTGGAATGATGCCCGCTTCGTGTGCATATCGGCATTGGGTAAGAAATTATTTTTCGTCAGCAGTTCCAATATGAAATGGGCACAACCGGAATGCAGCCATGACGATTGTATTAATAAAGCATTTTCACCGTACGGATCGAGAGCGGGAATTAGCAGGCTATTCAGTACACAGAGATTGTAGTGAACTTGAGCTGGGGTGGGATGTAAGAATAGCATTTCGGGGGTGCAATCTTGGGGATTGATCTGAAAGAAAGAAACGCAAATAAATCAAATGTGAAGAGAACCAAGTAAAAACTCTGTAAGTTCGGTCGGGCCGAACTTGAAATATCCTTCACCATTTAGAACGAAATTGGCAATTTAAAAAAAAGAAAAAATATGAATCCGTCAAAAATTCTGTTTAAATTAAAAATACGGAAAGTAGCCGTTATATTAGGGTCTAATAACGAAGTGGACCTGCATAGACTGCTTTTGTCATAAGCCATTACAAAATTCAAATGCGAAATGTCCTTAAAATCATCAAAATACCGAAATTCGGGAGGAACCGTTATATGGAGGCTATACCAAAACGAGGACCTGCACAGAATTTTTTCTGTCATAGGCTGTAGTATCCATTACGAAATACAAATACCAAATTTGAAACAATTCCGGTGAATAATGTCGCTAACATCATCAAAATACCGAATATCGGGAGGTACCGTCATATGGGGGCTGGCTATACCAAAAGATGGAGCTGCCCAGAACATTTTCTGTCTTAGGCTGTAGTATCCATTACCAACTTCAAACACCAAATTTGAAACAATTCCGGTGAATAATGTCGCTAAAATCATCAAAATACCGAATAAAGGGAGGTACCATTATATAGGGGCTATACCGAAACGTGGACCTGCACAGACAATTTTCTGCCTTAGGCTGTAGTATCCATTACGAAATTCAAATACCAAATTTGAAACAATTTCGGTGAATCTTGTCGCTAAAATCAACAAAATACCGAATATCGGGAGGTGGAGTCATATGGGAGCTATACCAAAACGTGGACCTGCACAGAACATTTTTTGTCATAGGCTGTAGTATCCATTACCAACTTCAAATACCAAATTTGAAACAATACCGGTGAATAATGTCGCTAAAATCATCAAAATATCGAATATCGGGAGGTGGAGTCTTATGAGAGCTATACCAAAACGTGGACCTGCACAGAACATTTTTTGTCATAGGCTGTAGCATCCATTACCAACTTCAAATACCAAATTTGAAACATTTCCGGTGAATAATGTAGCGCAAATCACCAAAATACCCAAAATAGGGAGATTCTATTATATGGGGGCTATACCAAAACGTGGACCTGCATAACCCATGTTCTTGGTATTGAACGTTCTGCAGACATAATATAAATTTGAGTAAAATTTTTTTACCCAATTCATTTTGTTTCGTTTTGGTTATTCAAAATTTTGCCCCCTTTGTGGGGGAGGTAGCAAAAGGGAGTGGGCTGTCTCACCAGATATGTGATATGTGAATTATGAAGATATTCGGAAGGTTATTTCCCTTTTTATGGGTCTTTTTTGGTTATTCGAAATTTTGACACCTCTGTGGTAGAGGTACCAGAAGGAGAGGGTCAATATCTGACATCTTTGCACCAGATCTTGTGTTGTTAAAAATGTTGGAATGAATGAAGTTTGAAAAAAATCGGACGCTTACTTCGGACCTAAGTGTTTTGTTTATTCAACATTTTCATTGCTTTGCTATCCCATCTTCCCACCAGATCTTGTGTTGGTAGAAATATAAGGATATGTAAAATATGAAGAGAATCGGAAGCTTATTTGTCATTTTATAACCGTTTATAACACGGGCGGACACCACTAGATCGTCTCCCAATATCCAATACTATTTCGAGAAGGAACGTTTTGGCCGTATCAAGTGATATATAAGTTAACGGCTCACCCTAATAAACATCAAACTAAATATGCAAACCAACTAGTAAACATTCCCATCATTATGCTGCGCAAGCAGTCCGACAAATCAACAGGAATATGACACCAGGGCAGTCATCCGCCACAAACACGCGCACTAATACCAGCGCACCGCAAGTGATGACTCAGCGTAATAACGAGCACGACCAGGCTGCAGTATAATATTAGTTTTAAGTTGAAGGGATTCATAATTGTAAATCCAACAAGAGAGGTGCATAGCACCGCAACATAAATGTTAGTAACAAAATAAAGAAACACCATAGCAGTGTGAAATAAACTTTAACTTCTAACATTAACTGGCGCCCAACAACTACAAGGATCAACACATCCTAGAACCCAACAACCACAAGGATTAAAACATCCCAACAGCCGGTACGAGAACCGTTCCTGAGTAGGAGTACGAAAAGGATGTTACGTAAGAACTAGCGGACTACCGGGATATAAGGAAAATGATCAAATTATTATTAGTAAGTTATTATAAATTTAACAAAAGTAAAAAAGAAGAAATGTTAAAATAAAATTAAACAAAATAAGGAATAACACAGAAAGTGAAAGTGTGAAATCTAATTTACAAAAAATCATATTTGTGCTAGAATACGTTTAACAAAAATAACAAAGTAAGAAGAAAGAAATGTTAGAGTAAGGTAAAACAAAAAATAAAGTGTGACATCTAAATTCACAAAAAAAATCATATTTGTGCGAAATTAACAAATGTAAGAAATATGAAATGTTAGATTAAGTTAAACAAAAAAATAGAGTGTGGCATCCAAATTTAAAGAGTCATATCCGTGCTGAAATAAGTTTAAAGAAATTTTGATAATAGATTTGTGACGAGAACTAGGATTTGGTGTTTCTTTTTCTCCTTTTTTTCGAGCGGCCAATGCCGGAAGATTTAAACAACTTAATAACAAGGGTCGAAGCTATGAGTGTTTCAGGACAGACATCTTCGCCTTCTGGGGCAGCTCCCGTAAGGTTTAATCCCTTTACGGAAAGTCAGACTAATGAGGTGAAACGAATAATAAGTGAGACGGTGGCAAACCTTCTCAAACAGGGGGAGGATGTTACCGCCACTAAAGATGTCGACATAGAAGGATCTGGGGATATCTCAGAAGGAGAGAGAATACCAGACATAGTGAAGACGTTAAGGGAATTCTCGGGCAAGCCAGGAGAATTTAGTTCGTGGAGGAAAGCTGTTGATAGGATCATGAACATTTATGAGTCACAAAGGGGAACAACCAAATACTTCACAATTCTACACACTGTTAGGCATAAAATTGTTGGTGAGGCCGACACGGCTTTGGAGTCTTATCGGACCCCATTAAATTGGAAAGCGATAAGAAAGTGTTTAGTGCTTCATTTTTCAGATAAGAGAGATATTTCGACCTTAGAGTATCAAATGACCGTCCTATCTCAGGGTGGGCAAACCATAACAGATTTTTACCAGAAGGTTTACCACCATTTGTCTTTGATTCTGGACAAGATTGATTGTCTGGATATAGGGAACGAGGCTTTGGATGTATTGACCCAAACATATAGGGACAAGGCTTTGGACACCTTTATTCGAGGACTTAATGGTAATCTTCCAAGCTTAATGAGTGTTACAAACCCGACAAGTTTGCCTCAGGCTCTAAATGCCTGTTTAAAATTAGGTAATCTAGGTGTGCGTATTCAACACGCTACCGAGAAAGGATCTAGACCAAACAGGATCCCCCAAACTAACCCTCCTAGACATTTTTACCCACAGCTGACGATTGGTGATAGGAATTTTCAAGGTGACCAAAGGTACAGAGGCCCTACTCAATATCGTTATCGGAATTTCCGAAGTGGAGAACAACAATACGGAGGGCCGGCGAACTTTTCGAATCGACCTCCAGTAGTGAATAATTTTGGACACCCCCAATACGGAGGATACAGACCCCCACTTCCTCCTAAACCTGCTGTACCAATGGACGTGGATCAATCAATACAGACTAGGCAGGTAAACTATCAGAATAGGCCACAGTTGAGTAATGCTTTTAACAATGTTCAGCCTAACTTTAAGAGAAATAATTCAGGAAATATTCATCAGCCGCAAAAGCAGCAGAGAATGTTTAATGTTGAGGCCCAAATACGTGAGGATGCAGAGCCGGATGAAATGAATGGTTCTGATGAACAGGAATATGAGGTTTCCTATGACGAAGCGTACGAGGAGGATCTAGACGATCAGTTGGCAATTGTAGATGACGTTAATTTTTTAGACTAGCTTCAACGTTGCCATACCTCCCTTTCAGAATGAAAAATGGCAACGAACTTAAATTTCTTATAGACACCGGTTCGAACAAAAATTATATTAATGGCAAATTTATTAGAAACCCTCTAAAGAACCAGAAACCTTTTCATGTTAAGTCCGTAGGCGGCATAGTTAGTATAGAGACCCATAGTTTTATTGACATTTTTAATTGCGGGATCGGAAAGTTAGAATTTTACATCCTTCCTGGTCTAGAGACCTTTGATGGGATAATAGGGAATGATACCCTGAAATCTTTGAATGCAGTGATTTACACTTGGAGATCCTATCTCACAATTCTGTATGGAAAGAAATTTCCTTTGAAAGAGCTGCAAATTGATGAGATTAATAACATGAATCTACGTTTAAATCATCTAAATCCCGAAGATGAAAAAGAAGTCAGGAATATTTTGGATGACCATCCAAACCTTTTTGCAGATCCCAATAAAAAACTCACTTATTCAACAATCGTACAAGCTGAAATTAATACGAGTAGTGATAGTCCAGTTTATTCAAAATCCTATCCGTATCCAATGGCACTGAAATCCGAAATTGACAAACAGATAGAAGAACTATTAAGGGACGGGATAATTCGCCCTTCCAGGTCCGCATATAATGCTCCAGTTTGGATAGTACCAAAAAAACCAGATGCTTCAGGTGTGAAAAAATACCGCATGGTTATTGACTATAGGAAACTTAATGAGATAACTAGACCTGACAGATACCCCATACCTGAAATTACAGAAATCTTGGCTAACTTAGGCGAACAGAAATACTTTTCCACCATAGATTTAAAGAGCGGATTCCATCAGATTCCACTTAGGGAATCCGATATTGAGAAAACAGCTTTTTCCGTCAAGAATGGAAAGTTCGAGTTCACAAGACTACCATTTGGACTACGTAACGCGTCTGCAATATTCCAAAGAGCTCTAGATGATATTCTTAGAGAGCATATAGGGAAACGGTGCTACGTCTACATTGATGACATTTTGATATTTGGTAGGACTAAAAAGGAACACATTGAAAATTTGAGGATAATATTCCGCACTTTGGAAGACTCTAATCTGAAAGTTCATTTGGACAAGAGTGAATTCTTAAAGGAAGAAATTGACTTCTTAGGGTTCAATGTAAAGGAAGGAGGTTTTTCTGCAAACCCAGACAGACTTAAGGCCATAGTTAATTTCCCTCAACCTAGAACAGTTCATGACTTGCGATCGTTCCTGGGTTTGACCGGACATTATCGGAGATTCATAAGGGGCTATGCTCAAATAGCCAAACCATTAACTTCCATGATGAGAGGCGATATAGGGAAAACCCCGAGAAACCAGTCAAAAAAAATCAGTGTCAATTTGAATTCCGAACAGATTGAAAGTTTCAAACAGCTCAAGAACTGTTTGGTATCGGAGGAAGTCGTTTTGAACTATCCCGACTTTGATAAGCCCTTTGAACTCACTACTGACGCCTCGAAATACGCTTTAGGAGCAGTTTTATCTCAAGGCAATAGACCTATCACATACCTTTCTAGAACTCTCAGTAGGGCAGAAGAGGAATATGCGACAAATGAGAAAGAAATGCTGGCGATAATTTGGGCTTTAAAGGAATTGAATTGTTACTTGTATGGAGCACGAAGCATAAAGATATTTACCGACCATCAACCTTTGACATTTGCGCTAAGCAACAAGAACACAAATGTGAAGATGAAGAAGTGGAAGGCACAGTTAGAAGAATATAATTACGAGTTAATTTATAAACCAGGTAGCACGAATGTAGTCGCGGACACGCTATCGAGACCACCAGTGACAGATGTTAACTCCCTAACGCCCACGGTTCACAGTGCCGAGGACTCATCGGAAGACCTAATTCCTTCCGCTGAGGTGCCAATAAATACCTTCAAAAATCAGATCATTATTGAGGAATCATCAGCTTCCTCATATGAATTTAACATTGTATTTCCCTCCTACCATAGACATATCATTAAAGAAACCAGTCTAGCGGAATCAGATCTGAAAGTCATATTAAAGAGATACCTAAATCCTACAGTAGTCAACGGCATCAAGACCTCAGAGCCAGTTATGCTTATGATTCAAGCACTGTACCCTCATCACTTCAGAAACATTAAAGTACGATTCGCTCGAACAATGGTTGAAGATGTTACTGATGAGGAGAGACAAAAACAAATCATTATTGAGACTCACAACAGAGCACATAGGAATAATGCCGAGAATAGGAGACAAATTTTAGAGAGCTATTACTTCCCTTCCATGACTAGGAAAATAAAGAATGTGATCAATATCTGTAAAGTATGTAAAGAAAATAAGTATGAGCGACATCCGAACGCTCCCAAACTTAATAAGACACCTATGCCAACTTATCCTGGGCATACAATCCACATAGATATCTTCTCTACAGACAAGTTTCGAGTTTTAACCGCAATAGACAAATTTACAAAATTCGCAGTAACCAGAATGATAAATGGCAAAGGCATTGAAGACATTAGGAAACCATTGAGAGAAATAATTTTCTACTTTGGGGTCCCGAAGTCAATTGTATTTGATAACGAGCGATCTTTCAATTCTCAGACCATTCGGTTTATGTTGGAAGACGAACTTGGCATGGAAATTTTTACGGCACCGCCTTATAAGAGCGAGGTTAATGGGCAAATAGAGAGATTCCATTCGACCTTATCGGAAATTATGCGTTGCAGTAAGTGTGAGCGACCCGATTACTCTTTTGAGGAGCTATTGCAAGATAGCGTTAACAAGTACAATCACACAATACATTCGTCAATTGGAAAGAAACCCGTAGATCTATTTTTTGGACGACCGACGACCTTTGGACCAGAGGACTACGAAAGGACTCGCCTTAACAACTACGAAAGACTCTTGAGGAAACAGGAAAATGATTTGGCAAATCATAATCGTGTTAGGGAAGAACCAAAAGAATATCAAGAAGGTCAGAAAATATTTGTCAAACAGAACAAGAGATTAGGAACCAAATTATCTAAACGTTTCAAAGAAGAAGTTGTAAAGGAGAATAGGCACTCAACTGTCCTGACTCAATCAGGGAGAATAGTCCATAAGAGTCATATCAGAAACTGACTTACTTATTTACCGGGTTTCCAGTTCTTAATTACAGGTTGCCTAGGGGTCACAGAAATATTGGACTACTCTCAATCAGAAGTGGTTCTTATAGAGAGTGGAATAGGAAAAATACAAACAGGGACATTCAAAATTTTGCATGTTATTAACATCAAGGAATATCATGACACTCTAGAGAGGATCAAGGACGACTTGGCCAAAGGAATTCCAGACAACCACCCACTACTCCCCTTCCTACATAATGACATTACTACCCTATCTCACCTTATAAATCGGCTAATGCCTGAAGAGAGATCTAAAAGATCTCTTGATGAGATTGGAACGGCGTGGAAATGGCTGGCAGGTAGTCCAGACCATGATGACCTTATGCTTTTGAAAAACAAAATCAATGAGTTAACAGACAACAGCAATAACCAGTTAATAATCAACAGAGATCTAATAGAAAGAATGCAGGAGATAACGAATGCGACAAATAGTATTTCAAAAATTTTAAAGACTAGTGAGGACTTCCGTAATACCCTCATATTGCAGGCAAAGTACAAAGTTGAAATTTTAAAGGAGGAAATAACGAATATTAATTCGGCCATTCATTTAACAAAATCCAACATTGTAAACACATTTATTTTATCGGAAATAGAAATTAGAAAAATAGAAGAAATATTTAATCAAGATGAAATCCCGTTTCAAAACATTGAACAAGCTTTAAATTTCGCACGAATAAAAATTGTAAACAATAGTACTAATATAATTTACATTATAAGCATTCCCAAAACTGTAAAAGAAATTTGTAATGTCATAACCATAAGACCTGTAAAAAATCAAAATACTGTTTTAAATCTTGATTATAAGAAAATTGTAAAATGTGAAAGAGCAACATTTGGAATTAAAAGTCCTTGTCAAAAAATAAATGGTATTGAATTATGTCTAGAATCTAATGTAGCCAATATAACAAACAATACATGTATTCCTAAATTAGTAACTAATAGCCCACATAATTGTTCAATAGTAAATGCAGATCACATTAATAATTTAGAGGAAATAGAACCTGGATTAATTTTGATAAATAACATAAAAGAAAATATTGTCATAAATGGAAACGAAAAAAATGTAACAGGAACTTATTTAATAAGATTTAGTAATTCTACAATTAGGATAGGCAACAAAAATTTCACCGTCGAAGAAGCTGCTTACTCCAAACCGTTGCCTGCGCTGCTAAAACACTCAGCTAGAAACAACTACACCGAAGAAATACTATCTCTACAACTACTAAAAACGTTGCACGTGAAAAGTAATAAAAGAATCGAGCGTCTAAATACTGAATTCAAGACCAGTTTATGTTTTAACATCAGTCTCATATTAGCATTGGTCATCCTCCTGATGGCAGTAAAAATGAGGCAAAGGCGCAAAACTAGTATGAAAATTATAAAAATGACCCCACATGAAGGAATGTCTAGACCTCAAATAGAAATGACTGTGTCAGAAAGCCAATTGGCAGCCGGCACAACAGAATCTGTTATCAAAACAAAACAACTAGCAAACCACAATATTAACTTGAATCAACGCGGCAGTCTTTATAATCTGCCATATTTCTAAACACATCAATCGAGACGCTTGATAATTCGAGAGGGAGGAGTTAACGGCTCACCCTAATAAACATCAAACTAAATATGCAAACCAACTAGTAAACATTCCCATCATTATGCTGCGCAAGCAGTCCGACAAATCAACAGGAATATGACACCAGGGCAGTCATCCGCCACAAACACGCGCACTAATACCAGCGCACCGCAAGTGATGACTCAGCGTAATAACGAGCACGACCAGGCTGCAGTATAATATTAGTTTTAAGTTGAAGGGATTCATAATTGTAAATCCAACAAGAGAGGTGCATAGCACCGCAACATAAATGTTAGTAACAAAATAAAGAAACACCATAGCAGTGTGAAATAAACTTTAACTTCTAACATTAACTTATAGCCTCTATAGCCACATGGCTGAGGGTATAAATAAGATATTGAAAGAGTGGGTTGTCTTCTGTCGGTAATGGGACTGTGGCAGGTTTTCATTTAAAAAGTTCTTTGAAGACTTTCCACAGGTCTCTTCTTGCTTTCGGGTAACTTATACAAATATAAGGCCTTCTTCGGTTCTTCTCTGTTTAGATTTCCCACATATCTTCTACGGTTAGAAGATTCCCCTCTCGCCTTTTTTCTCGTAGATTAGATTAGTAGATTTTATATAGCTTTAAATTAGGAATATTTTCAATAGAACTTCTATAGGTTCTTCCCTACATGATAGACTTCCAATAGCGTATCTATAGATTTAAACCCTTCCAGAGATTTCCTTAAAATAGAATATCCTTCATAGTCTTTACGTACATAGAGGACATGCCAACAAAATTATTTTTCACAAAGTCTTCTATATTTTGAAGATCTCCAACAAGTCTTCTTTTCTGTTCGAACACCCCCACATGTCGTTCTTGGATTGAAGCTTTTTACATGTCTTTTATGGGCAGTAGATCTTTCCCTGGTCTTCTTTATATGACAAAACTTCTACAGGGTCTTTCATAAATTAAAAATCTCAAATAGGCTTAAAACCTCATACTGGTTTTCCCTAAATGGAATATCTTCCACAAATCGTCTGCGCCTAAGGAAGAACTCCTCCTCCTCCATCAATCCCAAAACTCCCCCCATTAATCTTTCCAACTTACCGGTTCATTTGTTGAACTGCCCTGTTGGATTTGGCCCTCATTGACGGCACTGCCCGTACCGACATTCAGCCCAGCCGTTGTCTCTTCATCTTTGGTTACAATATTTGAGCCAATACCACCTCCAACACCACCACCTGTTAATGCCGCACCACTTCCCAACACCGCTGCCTCGGGCATGCCACACATTAGTTGCAACATCTTGACAGTCTGACGATCACAGGGCAATAAATGCAACAACATTTTAGCACTTTCCCTTAGACGACCATGCTCCAAATCGCTGCCCAGCTGATAGAGTTTAAGAAAAAATTCTATATATTGGAAATTCTGAGAGATTATTACGCCCGGCAGCGTGCTTTCCGATTCGACACGTGACATATCGGGGCAAGGTCTGGGCGGAGAACCGGTACTCGAGTCGCTCGACGTGTCTGGACTGCTGGCCAGCCCCGCACCAATTGGTGTCAGCTTCGCGGTTAGAATCATTTTATCCCGTATCGAGTAATGCGACAGGGGATTTATTTCATCACCAATTTCAATCAGTTCACCATTGTTGTAATGCAAATCGACTTTGATGTTGGCCGTCGATGTGCCCTTGATCCTTTTCAGTAGGTTACGCTTAAACGACGACACCATTTCATTGTTATGGGTGGTAATTTCAATGTCATCAATGGGACGTCCAGGATTTTGAAAACGTATATAAAGACTAGTATATTTGCCACGTGTGGCACGCACCAAAGGCAGCATGGTACGATCGCCGTTAAATGAACGATCACATTCCTTGATGTATTCCTGTAGGACCTTGAGGATGCGACACATTTTCTCGGCCTCAATGAAACGCATTTTCGAATCTTTTGAATCATTTTGATCGGCCTCCTGGTTGTTGTCATCGGGCGAGGTGGCCACCACATTGCCACCGCTGCCGCCCAACGATTTGCCCAGTATCAAGATATTCGAGTAGTGGGTCCTCAAACGTTCACAACACTCGCCAATGAACATTTCATGGAAATCACTAATGTTCTCCTGGAGTCGTGGTCCCAATGCCGTCGACACCTCCTTAAGTAAATCAATGGCTTTGTTGGCAATCTCCTCACCACCCGTTGTTATGACACGCCACAGATAATCCTTGCCGATTAGATCTTCATTGTCCAGAATATAACCACGATGTATGGCCTTGAGTTTGTCCTCTTTGGAATTGACCGCCTTAAAGAAACGTTCAAAGCATTTTATGCCCGATTCCGTTAGCAAATGTGGATCCAATTGCAGAATGTTGTTCTCAAAGAAATCCTTATTTATACCGGGATCCAAGTCCGGTTCTTCGCCCATTAGTTTGCCGAACCAGCGGAAACATTCCTCACGATCCGAGGGGAATACAGCATTGACGGCCAAACAATGCCAAATCTGTTTGGCCTGATCGGCACAAAGCCACAGCTGGCCATCTTTCAATAGGAATTTAAGAAAATCCAAACGTTCCGATATTTGCACATTGTGGGGGAAACGACCATCTATACACAGGGCGGCAGGATCTACATTGGACATTTCGGCAACCATGCCACGTATTTTATCCATATACGATGTCAGACTATTGGTCACAAGGATTACCAATGAATATTCGTTTTGTAGCCGTTCAATGACCTGTTGGCGGTTGAGCGACTGCTGTGAGCGGGGAGCATGGCTGGGCGAGGACTCATAGAGACAACAGATTTCTCTAATTAAACGCAAGGCTGGCAATACCCATGATTCAAACGTCTTCAACTCCGTCACACATTTCTCTAGCCAAACGATTTTCTGGGCATCCCTTTCCTGGGAACAGCTGTAATCGAGAATTTTAACATGGGCCGCCAATGCTTGATCTAAGACCTCGGGTTGTATTTCTTGGCTGTGGGCCAAAGTCCAAAAGAGTTTCAACACCTTTTGAGCCATAACACCATTTTTGTCGTCCTCAGCCAAACGGCGGATTAATTCCAAAAGCCTTTCGCGCTGGCGTTTGTTGGCAGTTGTCATGCTGGCCTGAAAGAAAAAGTAATATTATTTTTAAAAATATTCTTAAAAATTTTTTAAAGAACTGTTCCCAAAAAATTTTCAGGAATCTGCTCGATTTGTAAATTTTTTCGATATCCGAAAGGAAAAATCGTTTATCGTAATAATATTTTTAGATTCTTGCAGATTCTGGAAAATGGAACAAATATAATTTAAAATTTCCCCAACTTACCTGGAATGATTCAAACAAATGATCCAATTGCTCGGGTGTAAAGTCCCATGCCAACTTAGCCAATAGATCATGCACATTCTTAACAATGGCCTCATGCTTGCCAGCCTGGGCTTTCCACACCGCATCCAAGTCTTCCAGAGTCAAGGCATGTTCTTTAATTAAAAATCTTATGATTTTTTCCAATTTCTCTACATATTGTGGTTGATGTAACGAGTCTTTCAGGACAATGCCCAGGACATCGGATTCTTTGATCCAGGCCTGTAGAACAATACGAAAGAAAGGAGACAACAAATTACAAATCTGTTTTTAAAAAAATGTGTAAAATCTTTCAACCTACCGCCATTCTCTCCGCCGTCAGCCAATCCAAATCATCATCCGACATACAGTGCGGCAACTGTGGCGTCCTGTGCGAATAGTATGAGACCGATGTCAAAACTTTGTTAATCTCATTGAGGGCATTCATTTTGCCATTGAAGCTGGACACCTGCAGCAGTCTGAGTATCATTTTCAAACGAAACATTTCCAAATTTCGTATTAGCTCCTCCTGGCCAGGCAAACGGCTGGCCAAGTAACGGGCCGACTTCACAATACCATTGATGTAGTCATTACGTCCCTCAGGTTTGGCTTCTCGCTTCAGTTCCTCATCCGAAAAGCTGTCGAGTAAATCCAAAACCACATTCCATATGGGCATAAAATATTTGGAAATGGTTGCCGGTGTCAACAGTTCATAGCATTGGCCGAAGGGACGCAACAAGCTATAGATCAAAGCCAATGTCAATTTATTCTCTTGTTCGGGATCGGGTTGTAGCATGGCCCGTGATCCCGTTGGTTTGGCACAACCCGATGCCACGGCAGCGGCCTGTTGTTCCTGTTGTTTGCGCAACAGCACCAGACCGCGATTGAAACGCTCTTGCAAATTGTCGAAACCCTTGAGCTGACCAAAACGATTTATCAAATCCACCAACCATCCACGTGCATTCTTGGGCTCTGGCGGCGATTTGGCAAACATTTTATTGCCATCCAAAACACCCCACAAATGTTCGGGTGGTATAAAACATTCCGGCTGTCGCGTCGCATTATAGGTGTTGTATTTATTTTCCGGATCGAAGACTAGCGCCAGTAAATCCAACAGATATGGATTATCACGTGTCATGTGAATGGCAATCAGATGCAATAGCTTGCCACAGGAGATCAAAATACAATGATGTATGGCGTATTTCCACGAGTTGACAGCCTCATCTGTGAGTATCTTCGTAAAGGATGTCGTCAAGGCATTGCGATAGAATTCAACGCATGGCTCACAGTCATGATCCACACCTGGAGGGGGGAAAGAGTAAGCAAAGCAAAGTTAGATAAATTAAACGTTTTTGAAAAGGACCCTCAAACAACAAACTTTATAAGGGACAATTAACCTAATAAATGTTGAAATTTAATGGGTGTTTTTTTCAAAGGCCCATCAGAGCAATAAACCTGGATTTTTTTAAAGTGTTTTTTAAGGGTCATCTAACCAATAAACGCGGATTTTTTAAAGAATTTTTTTCAAAGGACCATCTGACCAATAAACGTGGATTTTTTAAAGAATTTTTTCAAAGGACCATCAAATCAATAAATGGGGATTTTTTTTATCGAATTTTTTCAAAGGACCATGTAACCAATAAACCTGGATTTTTTTTATCGAATTTTTTCAAAGGACCATCTAACCAATAAACTTGGATCTTTTTTATCGAATTTTTTCAAAGGAACATCTAACCAATAATCGTGGATTTTTTTATCGATTTTTTTCAAAGGACCATGTAACCATTAGACGTGATTTTTTTAAAGATTTTTTTTCAAAGGACCATTAAACAAATAAACGAGGAACTTTTAAAATAATTTTTTCAAAGGACAATCTAACCAATAAACGTGGATTTTTTTAAGAATTTTTTCAAAGGCCCATCTAACCAATAAACGTCGATTTTTTAAAGATTTTTTTCAAAGGTCCATCTAACCAATAAACGTGGATTTTTTAAAGATTTTTTTCAAAGGTCCATCTAACCAATAAACGTGGATATTTTAAAGATTTTTTTCAAAGGTCCATCTAACCAATAAACGTGGATTTTTTAAAGATTTTTTTCAAAGGACCATCTAACCAATAAACGTGGATTTTTTAAAGATTTTTTTCAAAGGACCATCTAACCAATAAACGTGGATTTTTTAAAGATTTTTTTCAAAGGTCCATCTAACCATTAGACGTGGATTTTTTAAAGATTTTTTTCAAAGGACCATCTAACCAATAAACGTGGATTTTTTAAAGATTTTTTTTAAAGGACCATCTGACCAATAAACGTGGATTTTTTAAAGATTTTTTTCAAAGGTCCATCTAACCAATAAACGTGGATTTTTTAAAGATTTTTTTCAAAGGACCATCTAACCAATAAACGTGGATTTTTTAAAGATTTTTTTCAAAGGACCATCTAACCAATAAACGTGGATTTTTTAAAGAATTTTTTTCAAAGGACAATCTACCCAATAAACGTAGATTTTTTAAAGATTTTTTTCAAAGGACCATCTAACCAATAAACGTGGATTTTTTAAAGATTTTTTTTAAAGGACCATCTAACCAATAAACGTGGATTTTTTAAAGATTTTTTTTAAAGGACCATCTAACCAATAAACGTGGATTTTTTAAAGATTTTTTTTTTCAAAGGACCATCTAACCAATAAACGTGGATTTTTTAAAGATTTTTTTTAAAGGACCATCTAACCAATAAACGTGGACTTTTTAAAGATTTTTTTCAAAGGACCATCTAACCAATAAACGTGGATTTTTTAAAGATTTTTTTTAAAGGACCATCTAACCAATAAACGTGGACATTTTAAAGATTTTTTTCAAAGGACCATCTAGCCAATAAACGTGGATTTTTAAGATTTTTTTCAAAGGAAAAAATGCTGTAGTTCGGTCGAGCCGAAATTTGAATACCCCCTTCACCATTTGGAACGAATTTGGCAATTAAAAAAAATAAAATCCGTTAAAAATTCGGTTAAAATCTTAAAAATACTGAATGTAGCCGTTATATTTTTCGGTCTATACGACGACGTGGACCTGTGTAGGCAACTTTTGTCATAAGCCATACAATCGAAACTTGAAAAAAATGTGTTAATAATGTCGCTAAAATCATCAAAATACCGAATATCGGGATTTTCTGTCTTTGGCTGTAGTATCCATTACGAACTTCAAATACAAAATTTGAAACAATTTGTGTGTATAATGTCGTTAAAATCATCAAAATACCGAATATCGGGAGTATCGTTATATGGGAGCTAAACGAAGACGTGGACCTGCACAGATAATTTTCTGTCATAGGCTGTAGTATTCATTACGAACTTCAAATACAAAATTTGAAACAATTCTGGTGATCAAAAAATCATCAAAATACCGAATATCGGGAGCTACCATTATATGGGGGCTATACTAAAACGTGGACCTACATATCAAAAGTCCTGTAGACATACTATACATTTGAGTAAAATTTTATCAACCTACTTCATTTCGTTCGAAAGCTAGAGTGATTTCCACAGACGGAAAGACGGATGGACATAGAATTTTATGCAGATCAAGAGAATATAAATATATACTTTATGGTGCCTAAAAGGTATATTCCGAGGAGTTACAAACGGAATGGCAAACTTAATATACCCTCCAAACCATTGTGGAGAGTAAAAAAATGTGAATTTCAATTTATCAAAAGGATCATCAATCTTTTGGATTTTGATTTTTTAAGTTTTTGATTAGGTCCATTAGACTATGGGTCCACTGCACCTGGGGTATTATGCTCCCCTCTTTCAACTTACCAGCAGCTGTTAGTTGTATGGCAGCATTTAATAATACCTCCAACTCTTGTTCTGGCAAAACGGGTACAACCCATCGTGGACTGGATATTTTCTGTATTAGTGATGTTAGCGATTTTGTGGGAAATGATGATATCAATTTTTCCGGCGACCTAAAAAAGGAATAAATAGAAGAAAAAAAAACACACACACACAAATTATTATGAAAAACAATTTCTGAAAATGAAAACAAAATTTGGTAAACATAACACAAAAGCAAAAACCCTCAAAAAAAAAAAAAATTGAACGATTATCGTCACTACGAAAAGAAAAATAATGAGAATATGCCAACAAATAATAACAATAATAATTATAATGGCAAATATATAATTATGAATCACACTTGGTACTATTACGAATATAGAATCGAAACGAGAGTGTGTTTGATTGTGCACTTTGATAAACAAAAGCGCGTTTACAGATAAACAAAAAAAGTGTACAAAAAAAAAAACAAATGTCTAGTAGATACCTATATTTTGAATGGAAAACGTTCTCGTCTATGATGAAGAAGGGGGAGGCCTAGCAAGTGGGAGATGTTGTAGGTGAACGTTTAATAGCATGGCAAATAATATTTTTTTTTTTTTTGCATTATTATTAGAATTTCTTATCAGGTGTTTTGGTTGATGATGTCGTTGGCGTTTAGATGACTGTTTTTTCTTTTAAAGCTACTTCGGTTTAAGGGGAAGGCATACCACACCACAAACAATGAGAATTTTTATTATTTGTCGATTACTTTTTATCAGTTTTTTTTTTCTATCAACTTTTGTCGGTGGCGTTTAAAGTTATAAAATGACAACAACTACAAGTACTTAACACTGTCATAGGTAGTCATTTTTTCATTCATGATTACAATTGTGAAATACATTTGTTTGTTTTCTTTTTCTTCTAAATAATTGCTAATTAATCAAACTATTCGGTTTGCTTGAATAGATTACAAACACAAATTACAGTTCAATAATTTCAATTTTGAGTTCAATGTACTATGAAGTGATATTTTTTGAAAATGCAATGCAAAAAAAACTTGTGGTACTGAACTCATAAAATTTGTTATTTTAATAAATTAAAGTTTTGAATATTTAAAAAAAAATCTAAAAAAATGTGTTTTAAAAAAACATTGGCATAAGAATAAATGCCGAATATTATCGCGAAAATATTCTGGAGGGTGTATTAAAGCCTTGGGAGCACGCAAACATTTTGGCCGCAGACCTTGAACATTCCAACAGGGCTCAGCAACATCGCACTCAGTACGCGCCACCCAAAAATGGTTACAATATGAGGTTTTTCACTTGATTTCCAGCGCCCAATGGCCACCAAAATCTCCGGATACCAATCCGTTGGCCTATTGCGTCTGGAGTATTTTGGACAGCAAGCTTGGCACTTACAAATACCAAAGAGTCGATCACCTCAAGCAAGCGCTTCGCCGGGAATGGGCCAAACTACCGCAGATCAACATTCGGGCAGCGTCTGATGGTTTCATTGGCCGTTCGAAAGTCATAATTCGTGCCAAAGGTGATCAATTGGAACAAATCTAGACTTATTCTAAAATTTAATGCAATTTAAAATATGAATAATAAAAAAAATATGTAAAAATTACGGCGTTTAACTTTGTTGCAGTTTTTTTTATCTCACCCTGTAGAGCTTTACATAACAAATAAATGGAGAATTTGGGAGAATTAAATCATACCCTACTATGATTAGAGTTATAATTTAAAGTCCATAGGAACTAGCATATAAGAGAAATATCCTCCACTGAATCGATTTCTACTATATTAGCCGATCAATTCGGGCTTGTATTACCCACTTGGTGCACAATAAAAGGCAAATCGGACGAAGATATATATGCGAGCTATATCCAAATCTGAACCGATCTCGATAACATTTAGCAAAGGTATTTCTGAGCGGTCTTTGATATATTTCCCCAAATATCTTTGTTACAAACTGCATGTTACGGCTGTGGAGAACAAAAATAACAAATTGGATGAACAACATATACGGGAGCCATACTTATTACTATTTTCAGGTCTAGTTCTGTTGTATGGGCAAAATTCTATCCCATTTGGGCTAATATTACACGTTTGCTGCACAATAGAAGGTAAATCGGACGAAGATATATATGAGAGCTATATCCAAATTTTGACCGATTATCTCCAATTTCCGAACCCTATGTTCATCCTTGGGTCAATCGAATTACTTGTGGAAAATTTCATCTGGTTTATTCAAAATTTTGACCCCTTTGTGGAAGAGGTACCAGAAGGAGCGGGACGATGGCTCCCATTTTCACACCAGATCTTTTGTTGGAAGATATAGTGAGATGTGTTGAAAAGAATCGGAGGATTATTTCGGATTTTATGAGCGTTTGGGTTATTCAAAAAGTTGACCCCGTTGTGGAGGAGGTATCAGAAGGAGTGGTCTATCTTCATATAAGACCTAGAGTTGATAGAAATATTGGGATATGCAACATTTAAAGACAATCGAACTCATCTTTCAGTTATGGTTACTCAAAATTTTAACCCCTTAGGGGAGGTACTAAAAGGAGTTGGCCGTTTTCACACCTGACCTAACAATGATACAAAAATTGGGATTTCAAAAGTTTGAGCATAATCGAATGGGCCTTGCTCTTTTTTTAGGTTAATTATTTTCTTAGAAAATGTTAACCTTTTTTAGGAGAGGTACCAGAAGAAGCGAACCGATATTGTTCTCGAATTTGGTTCCAACTTTGCGAGTCCTAATATTTTTACACCTAATTTGCACTTGGAAAGTTGAAACAAAATTTTATACCTCTTTTTATTTAAGAGATATATTATTTTGTGAAAATGTAGACGTATTGTGTGGGAGATACCAGAAGGAGTAGATTAATTTTCCCACCTACGAACACGATCTAAGTTTGATGATAACCTGACGATATCCCAAGTTTGTACCAAATCGGATACTCCCTTCGAAGGTTGTCGTGCGCATCAGTCAAACACACACAGGTGAACGAACGGACACCGCTAGATTGACTCCAAATTTCGTAAAGCGCAGTTCGTCCAAAGAGACCTGGGGCCTAAAACCGTTATTTCCATAAACCAGTTTTTGGTCGTGTCAAACGATATTTAGCCTCTATAGCCTGACTGCGGTATAAAAAGGGGCCAGGCCGAGTTTTTTATACACTCCTAGGATATTTGTCAAATATCTGTAAAAATTCAGGATTGAGGGGCTATCATTATTGTGCAATTTTTGCGAGAAAATTTCCTACCCATTCAGATTTCAAAACAAAATGACAAAGTACAATCACTTCGGCAGGAGCTTCTAAATGCCAATTGTCAACATTGAGACTAACACCTTCAAAATAACGCAAATCAGGAGGTACCTTTATGAGTGGAAGGTATCCAGCAAATACTAGACCCATATAGAAACTAATTTGTGAGAAAAAACATCTCGAGGTAGCCTTATAGAATAGAATCAGATTGAAGTCTGAAATATGCAAATTGCAGCTGTATCATTTGGAAATTGTGTGTTACAGATTCAAAACACCGAATATCGAGAGTAACCATTTTATGTTGTCTACACCTAAATATGAACAGATAAAGCCCATTTCAAATATCAATAATCGTAGACACAATTTATCTTCTATTGTGACAGAGCTCCACATACAATGAGCTTTAACCACCAACAGTTTCATCTTCTACCTTGGGCTCAAAAATCGGACATGCAATCTATATGGACGTACATAAGATGGAGGAAAGCAGCGGTTTAAGGGTCGATTGCGAACACCTAGGTTAGGTTAGGTTGAAAAGAGGGGCGAAGCAATTAGCCTCATGCCCTGTTGGGCATACACTTAAGTCAGTATAGGCCTGTTGTGCGCTCTAGACTAAGGATTTTTTGAAGAAGACGAGCAGTTTACTGTCTGTTATATTTGAAATTCAGTTGCCTTTATGAAATTTCTTAACTGTCTTATATCATTTACCAATGTCTGGTATGGAGTCGTTGCCTAAGAATTGGGATCTGATATTTGCAAACGCTGGGCATTGGCAGATAAAATGTTCCAATGTTTCGTCATCTTCCCCATATGCCCTGTATATGCTGTTATCTTCACATCCTATCTTGTACAGATGAGCTTGTAGGCCCGTAAGGATGCCCCGTAAGGATGCCTGTTACCTCACTGATCTCTTTTTTACCTAGCAATAAAAGGTTCTTCATTTTTATCTCATCGGGATCGCCCCATAAAATTTTAGTAGTTTTCCGAACACCTAACTGATATAAGATTCATAAGAACTGTGGCATTTTTTGGCAGAGATAAACTACCACCACTCAGCCATGGATATTGATATCTTGAGGCAGCTCTTTTATTTTTGGAAATTCGGTGGGCTGAGCTACAAATTATATGCTAAGCTGTTTTTTTTAAAAACCACAAATTCAGAACTACGCAGTTTCATATCAAATTTCCCTGTTTCTTCTCAAACATGAAAATGACCACAAATACATATTTGTAAATGAAAGACGACTTTCAGTGGTGAATAGTGGTAACGAAAAAAATTAAGTGAATAATCAAAATCTAAGAAGAATGGAGGGGCAAAAGACCACTACGAAACATTTGTTTTTGATAAACAAAAGAAAACAGAATTTTGCGTGGTAGCCGTATGTAAACGAAAAACAGAAAGAAATGTGTTGTTGGAGGTGGTGGTGGTAATGGTGGATAATGAAGAGACTGCAAACTAGACCCACTTAGAAATGTGCAATGAAACAAAGAATATTTCTTATACATACTAACATTTTAATTTTAGATTTTTTGCCGAAGAAGATTTATTCCAAAATAAACAAATTCAATATTGACCTTGGGTGGAAAAAATCACAAAATTCTGTTGTAAAGTGTAAGAATTTTCGATAATCTACGATGCGAAAGACAAGGAAGGGCATGGAATATTTGTGGGTTTTACGATACCGGGGATATATTTAAAACAATGCCACCTGCAATCCAATGGCGGCCGATTCTAAGATACCGTATTAAACCGAAACAACAACATATCAGTTTCGGCAAGAGGCTCCCACCACAAAATAAACAAATCCACTATTGGCCTTTAATGGAAAATCAAAAATTGCGTTGTAACGTGTGGGAATTTTCGGCAATATACGATGGTATGACCGGGCTGTAAAGTTCAGCAACTGTTTTGGGATTTCGTTGCCTTATGATTACTCTGTGCAGGCCCCGACGGTTCTTCATCGCGATCGCCCGTGTAAACGTCTATGTAGTCGGAGTATGCCAAAGTCTTAACCGATTGCACTTGGTTTTTTGCACTTGAATGCCACGGATTCAAGATAAGGTATTGACTTTCCAGAGTCATAGGAATATCTTTCCACGCTTCTTTCAAATTTTATAAGAGTTATGGGTATGGACTCGTTGTGTGGGAGGTCCAGAAGAAATGGTCCGATCTACCTCACCTTCACACCAGATGAATATTAATATTGGCAGGAAAAATTTAGATGTGAAGTTTGGAAAGAACGTGATGCTTATTTCGCATTCTTTGAGCGTTTTGGTTAGTAGTGGGAGGATCAATATATCCCATCTTTTGAAAAATCATTTGGCGATATAAATAATATTGAAATGTGTGAAGTTTGAAAAGAATGGGATGCTTAGTTGACAATTTATGAGCGTTTTAGTTAATAAAAATTTTGACCCTTTGTGGAGAAGATATCAATAGGGGTGCATATTTGGTAGGAGAGTATATTTGGTTGAAATATTGGAATGTGGCAAATTTGAATCGGACAATCGGACTCTCTCTCTCACAGTTTGTAAAAGTTACGATTATTCAAAATGTTAATTATTTTATAAGCGTTGCGATTATTTAAAATCTTGACTCTTTGTAGTGGGGAGCTACCAGCAGGGGTGGTAGACCACATCTTGTGTTGGTAGAAAAATTAGGATGTGCCATATTTAAAAAGAATCGAATGCTCATTTTGCATTTATAATGGTTATGGGTATTCAAAATTTTGAGCCGTTGTAAGAGAGGTACCAGAAGGAGTGGATCGATATATCCTATCTTCACACCAGATCTTGTGTTGGAAGATATATAGAGATTTGCAAAGAAGACAACGTGATCCTTATTTCACATTTTTGATTTTTCAAAATTCTAACCCTTTGTGTGGGAGGTACCAGAAGAAGTGGACCGATATTGTCTATTTTCACACCTGACTTAGCACCGATACAAATATAAGATTTTGCAAAGTTTGCACAAAACTAGATAATCCTTTTTTGTTCTATATGGTAAATTATTCCCTGTGGACATGTTGAGCTTTTGCAGGGAAGGTTTTAGAACTCGATCTAAACTTGATAATAATATTACGATATGCCAAGTTTGAACAAAATCAGATACTCTTTTCAGAGTTATCATTTACACCAGCCAGCCAGACAGAGGAATACCGCTAGATCAACTCCAGTGTCCTGAAACGGATTTCATGCAAAGAGACCTAGGGCCTAAAAACGTTATTTCGAAGAGACAGAAGAGATATATACCCTCTGTAGCCCATTGGGTGAGGATATAATAAAATAAATGTATAGAAAACTAGTAAAGAAAGTCTTATAGTCGGACGGGCCGACTTTATGATACCCTACACCACTTTGCATATTTTTAATAACTTCACATAACATATAAAAGTTTTTATGGGAAATTTGTGAGAATTACGTTTAAAGTGAGAAGGAACTAATAAATGAGAGGAATATCTTTCTAACATGAAATCGGATAAAGATATATATGTGGGAGCTATATCCAAATCTGAAGCGATCTCGATAAAATTTGGCAAAGGTATTTCTGAGCTGTATTTGAAATATTTCCCCGAATATCGTTTTTATGGAGTGCGTATTACGGATGTGGAAAACAAATATAACAAATCGGATGAATATTATATATGGGAGCTATAGCTATATCTGAACCGATTTTCACCAAATTTGACATACTTGTTTCTAGGATCAATTTGGTCGTAAGTACTAAATTCTATCCCATTTGGGCTAATATTCACGTTTGTTGTACAATTGACTAGAAATCGGGTAAAGATATATATGGGAGCTATATCCAAATCTGAACCGATCTCGATAAAATTTAGCAAAGGTATTTCTGACCTGCATTTTATATATCCCCCCCCCCCCCCCCCCCCCAAAAAAAATATTTACAGAGTGCATATTACGGCTGCGGAGGACAGAAATAACAAATCGGATGAACAATATATGTGAGAGCCATAGCTATATCTGAACCGTTTTCGATCAAATTTGGCACACTTATTTCCAGGCCTGATTCGGGCGTATGTGCAAAATTCCACACTATTTGGGCTGAAATTACACGTTTGGTGCATAATAAAAGGCAAATCGGACGAAGACATATATGGGAGCTATATCCAAATCTGAACCGATCTCGATAAAATTTAGCAAAGGTATTTCTGACCTGCATTTAATATATTTCCCTCCAAAATATTTACAGAGTACATATTACGGCTGCGGAGGACAGAAATAACAAATCGGATGAACAATATATGTGGGAGCCATAGCTATATCTGAACCGTTTTCGATCAAATTTGGCATACTTATTTCCAGGCCTGATTTGGGCGTATGTGCAACTATTCCACACTATTTGGGCTGAAATTACACGTTTGGTGCATAATAAAAGGCAAATCGGACGAAGATATATATGGGAGCTATATCTATATTTTGACCGATTATCTTCAATTTCAATAAGGTTCGTCCTTGGGTCAAGCAAATGATTTGTGCAAAATTGCATCGGGATCAGGCAATAAATTCGACCTGCACTTTGTTGACAAAAAAAAAACATGGACAGACGGAAGGACGGACGGACGAACATGCATAAATCAACTCAGTATGCTATTCTATGCAGACCGATCATCAAAAGGAGCTACGTGTCTATCTCGTTTCCTTTTTTGCTTGTTACAAACAAATACACAAAGACATAATACCCTGCCCATTCTTGTGGTGTATGGTATAAAAATGGAAATTTCTTCAAAAATGGTGGCGACTATTCAAAAAAAAAATCAAAACCTCAATGAAACTAGAGATTTCTTGAATATAATCCGGTAAGTTTGTAAAGAAACGTTTTCTATATAATTTCCCATTCCATAAAGGATTAAAATGTAAAGACCTGTCTCCAGTCCATCATCCAGTCGTTTAGAAAGACTAAGAAAAAAAAAAACGGAAATTTCCTTCAAAAACGTTTGGATAATTTCCAGGTGACAAAAAGATCGCAAAAAGATCAACCCCACAATTTTTGGTTAAAAAATCTAACATACTAGGACCCTTAATTACATGCCTGCAAATAAGTCCAGTTCGTTATGTGGACAAATGTTTTTAAAATCTACTGCCCTGACGCCCTAATCCAAAGTTCATTGAAGCAGTGCATTGGCAGTTATTTCAACTCTTTTTGACAGAAAATTCCATATACCGCAAATCGTCTATATTCTTTACTGCCGGCAAATGTTCACATATTGGTACCTTATGTGTGAGTGGCTCCTCCACACGGCAATATGGAACTCTCCCTAACCTATTACAAATTCTAGGCAAAAAATACATATTTACTGTTACGACAAAACAAAAGTAAAGGAACAACTTATCGCAAGGGTTAACAGCAATGGGACACGCAAACTATTGACCACAAAATAACAAAAGGAAGCAAAAAAAAGCGAATAAAACGAAAAAGTTGCTCATTTTGTTTTTTTTTTTTTGCTCTTAAAATATGCCGGCCGGACAATAATCGCCAGCCAAACAACTAACTGCCAATGCAAACGAAAACTATTACCAATTCTTTTCTACCACACTAGATTTGTGTGTCGTCGTCGTCGTCTTCTTCTAAACAAGACACATACATGCATACATACAAGCTTTCCTACATACATATGTACATGACTTACAACAAAATATGAAAACTTAAATGTAAGAAAGCAAAAAAAAAAAAAAAATAGAACAAAACAAAAAAATAAAACACGTAATAAAAAAAATAGATTTTCTTCTACTACTTACACTGCTGTGTCCGACACTAAGGCGCCTGGATTTTCTGTTTGGGAATCTGTAGTTAGGTTGTTACTGCTGCTGTTCATTATGGTGCTGGTGGTGGTGGGATTTGCCGAGGAAATAGTTGGTTCTGCAGGATTATGCGTAGTTGCTGTGGTACTTAGATTTGAGGACGACAACGAAGATGATGAGGATTCCCCACCGCCACCGCCACCGCCGCCGCCACCACCAATGCCAGTGCCACCTCCACCACCACTGCCACTACTCACACCACCGCCGCCGCCGCTGCTGCCGCCCACCAATGTCGAAGAGGATGAGGTTGTATTTGAGGAAGTGCTTGTAGTTGATGAATTATCATTACCGCTGCCACCACTACCGCTACCTGATGGTGATGACTGACCACGGACACGTCGTGGCTCAAACTTCATGCTGCCAGTACCGGGCGATGATGATGATGATGGTGCTGCTGCTGCTGTTCCTTACTGCTGCTGCCGCTTCAACTAGAGATGAAAAAGAAAACCACAGTGGCGGCAAATCGGGATGGGATGATGAAGGTGATGGCGTGATGATGATGACTATCACACAGACTTTAGTTTCTCCTACACACAGCGAGCGGCGTCTGGCTGCTTCTGGTGTCTGTTTGTTGGTCTTCTGTTCAAACAAAATGTGTGATGATATACAATGGTACTTTTTGTTGTTGTTGTCGACTTTACCACGAACAAAGGACAATATATTTGTAAGTATTCTGTGTGTGAGTGTGTGTATGTGCTTTCCAAGAATTCAAATGTTCTTCTGCTGCTTCTTCTTCTTCCTCTTCTGGGTTTCAATTTATGTCTCTTATATGCTCCGGGTGATTTTCTCTTCTTATTCTTGTTGTTGTTGCTGTTGTTTGCCTTAGGAACAACTAAGGGTTCCTAAGCAAGCGTTATTACATATTCCACTGGCAAAAGACAAATCCAAAAATCCATAAACTGCAAAAAAATGGAAACAGAAAAACAAAAACTAAATTAACAAATAAAAAAAACAACAACTGGAATCATCAAGGATAATATATGGGTAAAAGGATAATAGGTTTCTTAAATGTAGAAGTAAGTTATACCAGTGTATATCATCGGACACAACACCAAAGCCAGTGTGGGGTCTACTCGAGCCCTGATTTGCGTCATTAATAAGAACCGAGGAAATTGTCGGGGATAATAAGAGCCACAAAATTTGGTTTTAACCAGTAAAGAAAGTCCTAAAGTCGGGCGGGGCCGATTTTGTGATACCCTACACCACTTTGCTAATTTAGTTGAGCTCCACTTAATAATTAAAAGTTTTTATGGGAGAATTCAATTATACACGCTATGATTATAATTATAATTTAAAATTCAAAGGACTAAATATGCCGAAGCATTTGTATCTTTTAAATTCGGACTTGTATTGCCTATTTGGTGCGAAATTAATTTGAAATCGGATAAAAATATATATGGGAACTATATCCAAATCTGAACCGATCTCGATAAAATTTGACAAAAATATTTCTGAGCTGTATTTGATATATTTCCCTGAATATCGTTGTTACGGAGTGCATATTACGGCTGTGGGTAACAAATGCAATAAATCGGATGAACAATATATATGGGAGCTATAACTATATCTGAACCGATCTTCACCAAATTTGGCATACTACCTTCTAGACTAAATTCGGTCGTATGTGCCAAATTCCATCCCAATTGGACAAATATGAAACGTTTGGTGCACAATAAATGGTAAATCGGACGAAGTTATATATGGGAGCTATATCCAAATCTGAACCGATCTCGATAAAATTTAGCAAAGGTATTTCTGAGCTGCATTTGATATATGTCCCCAAATATTGTTGTTACAGAGTGCATATTACGGCTGCGGAGGACAAAAATAACAAATCGGATGAACAATATATATGGGAGCTATAGCTATATCTGAACCGATTTCGATAAAATTTGGCATACTTATTTTTAGGCCTAATTTGGTTGTATGTGCAAAATTCCATACAATTCGGGCTGATATTACACGTTTGGTGCACAATAAAAGGCAAATCGGACGAAGATATATATGGGAGCTATATCTAAATTTTTACCGATTATCTCCAATTTCAATAGGGTTCGTCCTTGGGCCAATCAAATTTTGTTTGAAAAATTTCATCCCAATTGAATAATAAATGCGACCTGCATTTTGTTCACATGAATACATGGACAGACGGACGGACGGACAGACGGACGGACGGACAGACGGACTGACATGCATAAATCAACTCAGAAAGTGATTCTATGCAGATCATCAAAAGGAACTATGGGTCTATCTCGTTTCCTTTTGCCTGTTACAAACAAATGCACAAAGACATAATACCCTGACCACCTTGTGGTGTAGGGTATAAAAAATTAGGAGCCATTAGAGCCATAAACGAGGATTTTTTAAAATATTTTTGTCAGGGACCTCCGGATCACAAATCGTATATTTTCAAAAATATGTTTTTTAGGGTTCACCAAACAAATAAATTTGGATTTTTAATATGTTTAAGACTGTCAAGGCCACAAATGTGGATTTTAGAGAATATATTTTCCAAGGATTGTCAAGGCCACAAACGTGGGTTTTAGAGAATATATTTTCCAAGGATTGTCAAGGCCACAAACGTGGATTTTAGAGAATATATTTTCCAAGGATTGTCAAGGCCACAAACGTGGATTTTAGAGAATATTATTTTTCAAGGATTGTCAAGGCCACAAACGTGGATTTTAGAGAATACTTTTTTCAAGGATTGTCAAGGCCACAAATGTGGATTTTAGAGAATATTTTTTTCAAGGATTGTCAAGGCCAAAAACGTGGATTTTAGAGAATATTTTTTTCAAGGATTGTCAAGACGACAAACGTGGATTTTAGAAAATATATTTTCCAAGGATTGTTAAGGACACAAACGTGGGGTTTAGAGAATATATTTTCCAAGGATTGTCAAGGCCACAAACGTGGGTTTTAGAGAATATATTTTCCAAGGACTGTCAAGGCCACAGACGTGGATTTTAGAGAATATCTTTTTCAAGGATTATCAAGGCCACAAACGTGGATTTTAGAGAATATTATTTTTCAAGGATTGTCAAGGCCACAAACATGGGTTTTAGAGGATATATTTTCCAAGGATTGTCAAGGCCACAAACGTGGATTTTCGAGAATATATTTTCCAAAAATGTTTAAAAATATTTGTTCTTGAAATACCAGGCTAATATTTCGAGGATTCGAGGGTCAGGACAATAAATGTGGATTTTTAAAAATATTTTTTCAAGAAACGCCAGACCAAGAATTCGGGAATTTTTTCAGGGACTATCCATGTCAATTAAATTGGATTTTTAAAACTATATTCAAGGTCCCTTAGAACCTTAGAAATGATGTCTTTGTTGAGGAACATCACATTTAAAACAAAAAAAAAAAAAAATACAAGAAAACCAGACTCAAAAAGTTCCAGATTTTTTCAGGAATCATCAGGTTTTTTCAGGATTTTTGAAAGTAGGCCCCTTCAAGTCCACTTAGAGCCTTGGAAATAATGTCTTTTTTCGAGGACCATCAGATTTAACAAAAATCCCAAAGCAACATATGTGGTCGCAACTGGCGAAAGACATACTACCCTACGTTGCTACAGCTTCGACGTCTGCGATCACAATGCAGAAATCCAAATGGATCTGAATTTAATTTAAAGCTTTGATCGCAAAAATAAATTAGGCGACTGCCATATGGTCAAAATCATGGGATCATATGGTCTAAATCACCTAAGAAATTTACTGAGCATGTAGACTTGTGGGAGGTTACACAATTTTACTGTCCAAAAAGTCTCCAAAATCTCATATTATATTGCAAAGAGGTCAATAACCCAATCTTAAATCAAAAAAAAAAAAAAAAACAGTAAGAAAAAGACAAAAGTCGGGCGGGCCGACTATATGATACCCTACACCACTATGCATATTTAGTAGAGCTCCCGTAAGAGAAGAATTTATTTGAAATAGATCATACCACCTATCAACATTTGGCTTTAGAGCAGTTACTATTTGGTTTCAGGGGGAACTAATATATGGGAGGCATATCCAATTCTGAATCGGTTTTCACTAAATTTGACGGAGACATTTTTATTTTTATACCAAATAGCATTGATGTAGAGTGCGTGCATGATGTCATTTCGACAAGGATTATATTAAAAGAAATATATCGGAGCCGAGTTCCAACATTTGGAAACGTACGTCTCGAAATTCACTCCATTCGGGCTGATATAAGCCATTATTTGCACAACAAACCTGAAATCGGATTAAAGAGCTTATATGGGAGCTATATCCAAAATTTAACCCTTCTCGATAAAATTTGGCAAAATTATTTCCGAGCTATATAAGATATTTGGTACCAAATATCATTGTTGTCGAATGCCTTTAACAAATATGAGGGATCTAACGACCAAAGCAGATGAAACATATGTATGGGATCTAAAGCTATATCTGAACCGATTTTAAAATTTGATATACCTGCTTCTAGATGGAATTCGGTCGAATGTACCAAAATTGAGGTCAGTTGGAGTGATGTTGGTCATTTGGTGCACAATTAACACGAAATCGGCTGAGGATATATATGGGAGCTATATCCAAATCTGAACCGATCTTGATAACATTTGGCAGAGGTATTTCTGGCCTGTATCTGATATCTGTAACCAAATATCATCCTTGTGCGGCGCATATTACGAATGTGAAGGACCTAAACACCAAAAGCGGATGAAACATATACCTGGGAGCTATGGCTATATCTGAACCGATTGTCACCAAATTTGATTTACTTTCTTCTAGACTAAATTCGTCCGGATGTGCCAAAATTCAAGTCATTTGGACTAATATTGGCCATTTAGTGCACATTTAACCCGAAATCGGTTGAAGATATATGGGAGCTTTATCTTAATTTCAAACCGATTCTCACCAATTTCAATGCGGTTCGTCCTAGGGCCAAACAAATATTGTTTGAAAATTTTCATCTTAATCGGATACAAATGCGACCTGCACAAGAATACATGGACAGACAGATGGACGGACAAATCGACTCAGAAAGTGATTCTATTAAGATTCTGAAAAGTAACTGTGGGTCTATCTAGTTTTCCTCTCCACGTTACAAACAAATGCATAGAGACATTATACCCATACCACTATGTGGTGTAGGGTGTAAAAAGATGGCAGTCCTTCCGAACGAAACCCCATTGTCACGACATAAGTAAACTTGAAACTTGAGTTAAACTAGGGCCTCTTTTTATTATCCTTCCTCCTCCAGACCAGGCAAGACTGGGCTTAGAAATGCAGGTGGGTGCAGATGGGATGGGCCGATACATTCAATCTTTACCAGATGTTTAAAATTTACAGAGAATCTGATAATTATTCCGCACTTTATGAGCATTTTGGTTATTCAAAATATCGACCCTTTGTGGGGGACATTTCGAAAGAGCGGGTAAATATCTACCATCTTCGCACCAGAAGAAATATTGGAAAGTGTGAAATTTGAAAAGAATCGAATGCTCACGTCACGTTTTGGTTATTTAAAATTGTTAACCATTTTCGGGGAAGGTATCAGAAGGAGTTGACCGATGTGTACCATCTTCATACCAGAACTTGTGTTAGTAAAAATATTGGGATTTGTGATGTTTGAAAATAAAAAGATGCTTATTTTGTGTTTTATGCGAACTTAAGTTATTCGCAATGTTGAACCCATTATGGAGAAGGTACCCAAAGGAGTGAGACGATGTCTACCATTTTTACACGATATATTGTGGTTGAAGAAATATTGTGATGTTCAAAGTCTGAAAATAATCGGATGCTTATGTCGCTTTTTGTGATCCTTTGAATTATTCAAAATGTTGAATCTATTGTGGGAGAGGTATCAGAAGGACTGGGTCAATATGTCTCATTTTCATACCAGATCTTGTGTTGGTAGAAATATT